ATTATATATTAATAATCAATCAAATAGCTACTTGATGCCCTGCTCCATAATTGTCCCACGGCTATATGGTTTTCCTTTATGCCTTTTGGCTTTTGGGTGAAATACAGAGAAGGAATGGAGGGGGAAGTTGTTAACTAATAAAGAGGAAACTTTGCTCATGCCCCAACGGTAGTCATGACACTTAATTTTCTTCTATAGGGATGGCTGGTGCAACGAGAAGAAGAGCCAAACTCAGATCAAGTCGTCCAATCCTTCATATAGGGACAGAAGAAATCGACGGCACAACACATGTTCCAACAATGGAAGGGTGCAACAGGTCATGTTCGCAACCTCAATCCAATTTCAGTGCATCTAATGCTAATGGGATCGATGTACCTCAAGGTACAGTGTTCTATAACTTATGAATTATTCATTAGGAAATACAAAATTATCTTTTAATATATTTTGTTTGTTATAAACGTGCTTATCATGAAGGAAGTGTGCCTCCTACTGGACCTGGTTCAGAACGCATACCACAATCTACATCAGAGGAAGAAATTCAAGGTATATAACTATTGAATAAGGCTTTATAAAGTTAATATGATGAAGTTGTTTCTGCCTTCATCTTCCATCACCATTTAAACATGTGTGAACAGGTATTACTAAGAGTCGTGTACGTGGTAGAGGCAAATATAAAGGCCTTAACATGGCAAAGAAAACTAAGTCAATCAATGACAAACTGCTTGTGTATTTTCCTCCTGGTGAAGAAAATTATCAACCGGTTGGTCCCAATGGAAGGCGTTTGAGTATGTGGTTGGGATATTGTGTTCGTTCTGTAACTGAGGCGCCAATGTATGGCTGGAAGTCTACCGTAGTTCCTCAATACAGTAACCAACTATGGAACATGGTCACTGTAAGTGCATTCGAAAGAAATTGGACTATCCTAATCACCATTTGATTTATGCTTACATGCTAATAATTTTAATGATCTCGATTTATTTGATAGGATTACTTTGACGTGAGTTCCGAAAGCCCTCCAAAGCTGAAAAAACTTGAGGAATTGCATAATAGTCCTTCGTCTGAAACTATTGAAGTGAAGCAATTCAAGTTCAGGACACATTGCTTCCATGTGATGAAGGAGAGCTATAGAAAGTGGAAATCAAGGCTCCGAAATGAATACAAACAGTTTGACACCGATGAGGAAAGAATGCAGAAAATCCCTGAAGGTTTAACAGCTGAAAATTGGGGGAAAATGCTACAAGTCTTTGCATCAAAGGAATTTGTGGTACGAATTGAGAATGTTTATTTGATTATATTTTTCTTTATTGAATATTGCATCTGTTATATTTTGATTTCCTGGACTTGGTTCTTCATTTGCTAATGCGTATCAACACTAGCTTATATATATAGAAATAGAATATATATGTTGCATCTGTTTATGTTATTGGACAAAATCCTTTATTAATTGTTTATGCTTCTCTGTAGTTGTGTTGAATACAGATTTTGTACTATAACTTATTTTTTTTATGCTTTTGCTGGGTAGCATTGGTAGCCTTGTTCTTGCAACAAACTTATTGTTTATAGATGCTTTAATTTGTATGTTTATATGTGTATATAGGAACTAAGTGACAGGAATACAAAGAATCGAGCAAATCAAACACTTGTAGCATGCACTGGGCCAGTTTCCTTTGCACAAGTGAACTATGATATGGTAGTATTTTTTTTTTTAATTTATGTAGTTTTTAAATAATTTATTTCGCTATCTTTGATTGGATTTATCACACTTGATAGATTGACGAGGAAACTGGTGAAGAAGCATTAGCTTCTGAGGTTTGGATGGCTCAGCATACCTTTCTGAATGATAAGAACGAGACTGAGTGGGTCAACAATGAATCATTCCTAGCTTATGTAAGTTTTAATTTATTATACTCAAAGTACATTTATGGAATTGTTAGATTTTAGGAACAATGTGTTAATATTTGTATTCCTTTCTTTTTAGCAACAAATCAGGAGAGTTGAAGAAGAAGTTGTACCAGTTAATCCAAATATTGACGTGCTGAAAGAGGCTTTTAAGACTCGCTCTGGACATATTCCTGGTAAAGGAACTGGTTGCAAGTCAAGGAGACAAACAATAATCAACCCCCAAAGTGGAAAAGTGCAACAGCTCGAGGAACAATTGGCCGCTGTGACAACAAGGTTAGAAGACCAAGCTCAACAAAATCAAGAGCTGACAACAAAATTGGAAGATCAAGGGAGGCAAAATTTGTTGTTGAGCCAAAGGTTTGAGCAATTAATGGAAATGGTACAAAGTCAGCAACATGGACACTCATCAGAAGATACTGAAGTAAGTTCCCTACCCGCAATCCTCTACTTACATGTAATAGAAGCTTAAATGTTGAAATTGCTATTCTTGACTTAGGATAGCGCTTAAGTTGTTTTTTTTTCACTTTCAACTTGATTATATGTTATGATTAGTTTTTTTAACAAATTTTGAAATTAGGATGAAGAAACTCTTAGTCGAGAAGAGAGGAATGAAGAAGAATTTGAAAGGGAGCAACGTTATCTAAAGGTATGTGACTTTTTTTCTTTAGATCAAAGAAATATGATAGTCTACTTGGTAAACAATAATGTATAGTGAGAATATTTAACATTTTTTGAATAAATAATGTAGGTGCTGCATCTTAATAGAAAGAGGATTTCACCAACAAAACATTCTTCTGCTGCAAAAAAGAAGAAGTGATTCTTTGCTTCTTCACGGTATGTGTAAACTTTTTTTTCATCTCTGGACTAATGTTTTGTTGACTTTTTTAATAATAATTATTAATCTTTGATTATATTGTATTTCCAGGAAGATGGAAAAAGAAGCATCTTTATGGGTCAGATTTGGAATATGATGAGAAGAAAATTATATTTATGATTATTTAGGATTTTGGATAATGATGATACATTAAGTCACGATTGTTTTACCTTTTAAATTTTTGGATCTTATTGATGTTATTATTATATGGCCAATATATTATTTATTTGATGATATCTTGTGTGAAAAGATTATGTAGGGATGATTTATTGTCTCCAAGTGGGCGTGTCCTCATCCCCAATTATAGTATATATGGGATGTCTCTTTGTCTCCAAAAATAATTTTTTTGGGACGACTAAATGTCTCGACAAATTATTATTACTAGACGTCTTGTTGTCTCCAAAAATCTACTTAAAAGACACATCGTTGTCTCCAAAAAGAGTTCTTAGGAGACGAAAAGCTGTCCTGATAAATAGTTCACAAGAGACGACTGGCTGTCTCCAAAAAAGACCGCATAAGGGATGATTTGTCGTCTCCAAAGATAGTTCTTTGGGAACGACTCATCGTCTCCAAAACAGTGCATTAGGGACAACTAAGTGTCTTATAAGATAGTTATTAGCAAGATTTGATGTCTCCGACAAACTTCATAGGGTATGACTTGTTGTCTCCAAAACTACTTCATAGAGGACGAATTATTGTCTCCTGACATAACATATAGGAGACGACTAATTGACTCCCAAAATACTGCATAGGAGACGACATATTATCCTAAATTCTTACAAATAGGACGGAAAATTAATTAGAATTTTTGCACTTTTGGAGACAACTATGTGTCTCTGACATTGAAGACGACTTTCCTTTTTTGTCTCCAAAAGAATAGAGGACGGAACCTATAGGCACCACCCGCAGGGACGACATTTGTCGTCTCCAAAAGATTTGGAGACAAAAAACCCATGTTTTGGAGACAAAATTTTTCGTCCCCAAAACCTATCAATTTTGTAGTGATTCTAGAGTCAAAATAGAGAATTTCGTTAAATATTTTGAAAAGAAAGAGGAGTTCATGGGAAAAAAGAAAAGAAGTTATAAATTTTGTGTTTCCAATTTGCATTGGGTTATGAACTGCTGTCAGATTCCCTATTTAGAAGAGTAGTATTAAGAATGATGGTGGTATTTCAAACGAGTTGTATGCATACGAGATGGGTAGCATAAGTAGACTTTTTTGGGTGGGGTGGCAGAAGTAGACAACAATATTTACTTATTAAATGAAGAAATTTAGTGGGCACAGTTTGTTAGAGTCTCATTCATTGTGTGCCCTCTCTGTAACCATGACTAGACTATTGATGTATTTGCTGGTAAGCAATACTGGTGCTTCCATTCCTCGAGTGGGTAAGTCCAAGATATCGGTGTAGATACTCATCGTCGGTATCATCCTTTGTCTGGACATGTTGCGATATCAAATCTAATTGCATCGAGTGGTTGGAAGGGCCCCTCAGAATCTCATTCAAAGCGGGACAGTAAGATAAGGAGTACATCTTGACATTTGCGGCACGACAAATATCAACTGGAGGAAGTGGACCGGAGGGGATGGTCTGTACGTACCCAAACTGACAGAGGCAACATGAGGGATCGTACATAATAATAGAGTAATTAATTTTAAAATTTAAATTTTTTAGAATGCAATGAATAATAATAAAATTTTGAAAATAAATTGAAAAATTGAACTCTCGCTTACGACGTATAGAAAACATGTCAGGATGTCGACGGCGACACATAACCAATGCGTCCGGCGGTCTCCGGGGACTTGTAGAATGAATGAAGATTAAGCAGCTAGAACATAGAATAAAATTTGGTATTTATGAAATTATAGCTCACATGTGGTATCTATGAAGCAGTAACATTAAACTCTAAACTTTTAAACGGCATATAATAATCATAATATTTTAAAACCCCAGAGTAGTGAAGTTCTAGATTCTCAAAGTTAGGAGTTTGGTATTATGAAATTGTCATAGCTTACATGTGGTATAATATAATTATTATCATTGCTGTCAGATCAGATTCCTTGTTTAGAAAAAAAACAAGTTGTCTGCTAGAAATTATAGTCTACGAAATGGGTAGCAGAAGTAGACTTTTTTGGGTTGGCCGGGGTAGCAGACGTAGACTTTTTATTTTTGTTTTGGACTCTCCCGCGCGCGCCATTTAAAAGAAGCTTTGCTCGCTCGATCTAATGGCGACACCACAAGACAAGAGATCCAATTTCCGATCCAGACAGAATTTCAACGTAATTAAGATGGCACTCATGGCGGCCGGCTTAAGCACTCTTTTCCCGTCTATGGTCTGCTTCGTCCTCGGCGCTTGGATCTACGTTATGTGCACTGATGGCCTCACCGTCCAGGATTTCTTTACCCCGTAACTACTCTACTCACCATCCGCTCTTCACTTAAGCAATATGTATGTATATATATATCTTGTCGTCGATCGAATTCTCTTTCATTAATTCTGTAGCTAAACTGATTCAATGGCGCGTTTTTGCAAATGAATTAAAAATTGCAGATGGATGGCTGGCTTTTTTGTTGATTTCTACATTTACGTTTTCCCCTTCGCGGTAAGAATTAGATTCATGCTTAATTCCCCTTGGCGGTAATTGCTAGCTAATAGTAGCCTTACTGATCGAGCTCTCTCTCTTTTCTTTTCTTTTCAGCTCTGGGTTTTGTACAAGGAATCCAACTTGCTGTTGGTCCCGGTTTGGATACTTCTGCTGATATGCACTGGCAGGTAATTAATTCATTCACCTACCAACCTAACCTAGCTAGGCGCTGTACTAATTAATTGATCTAAGTTATAATTATTTTATTAATGACTTGGGATGTTGAAGTCCTTAATTAATTAAGTAATTGTTGTTTCTCGATCGATCTCCATGGCATGTTCATCGTTCCTCTACATGTATATATATGTATGCAGCATGGGGGCTGGTTCCTTTACCTTTGTTCAGTTTCTCAAGTTGTCACCCCAAGAAGCTGCAGACGACCCTATCTACCACGCCCTATTGCGACCCGAACACAAGTATGGATCAGTCTTATTGTACGTTAATTTGTTCGAATACGTACGTACATCCTTCAGGTCGCTTGATCGATCGATCGATCAGTCGCGTTACCAAAGTATCGACTATATATTCTCTAATTTCAGGAGCGTCGAGGTTCAAAAGGGGAAGCAGCAGCACTCTCCGATGTTAGTGGTCGCTGCATGCATTGTTTTCACCAGTTTGGTTGGTGTGATGATAGCAACCCTGATTTGCTCTGTCGTGATTCAAGGCTCTCCTTTCCGCAAAGAGATCTTGACTCCGTAAGTAAGCTTCCAAGCTTAGCTAGTCGTCTACCTTAACGATAGAGTACGTGAATTAATTAATTAATTAATTAATTAATGTATTGTCTCTCGCGTACGTATGTACAGGGCGATGGCTGCCAACCTGATCGACATGTGTGCTAACTTCATCGCTCTTTCGGTACGTAAAATTAGGGACCAAATGAAATTTCAAGTTCCTGTTAGTGTTACAATATATGTACGTAGCTTTGCCTGATGCATGCATGCATGTTTCTCCAACTGAATTGTAATCCATGCAGGTGTGGGTTGCCTACAAGGAAACAAGTTGGTTAAGCGCATCCTTGTGGATAGCTGTACTGATACTTCCTGGCGGGTAGGGTAAACTTATTCTCCTTCATAACCGCCCGCCGTTTGAAACAAACTGACATGATAAATATTAGTTAGATTCCAATTCTCTTCTCTTTCTCTTGCCAGTATTGCTGCCTATATTGCAACACAGCTGTTTCAGCTTAGCTCTCACGACCCACTCTACCTAGTTTTGGTGAAGAAGAACCGCAGCAGGAGGGCAACCAGGGTTCCTCTTCTCAGTTCGGCTAAACCCAGCGCCCAGGGGTATTGAAATTTTTATAGGCATATGGATGGAGTATTCATATTATCGATCGGAGCAGCCAAACACAACACTTTGAAGCTAGCGTTTTCTTTTGTATTTCTTAGTTTAGCATGCATGTGCGTATGTTACGTTAAAGATGTATTTCAGATAAGGTTTGATGAGACACAAATCCATCTTTCAATTAAGTCTAATAAGTGTCATTCAACATCAGTTTTCATCCATAAACATAACAATGAACAACAGTACTACATATATATATTAGAGACGAATGATCATACAAATAATTAAAAATAATTTAACTACGTTTCTATATTTGTTATCATGAAATAATAATTTTACGAAATAATATGAATACAATTGAACATTAATTGTGAATTCATCATTTAAATCGAATTCTAATGCATAAAATAAAAATTAATCAAACGTATTCGTCCAATTAACGAGGTCCAACTAGCAAGGCATCAAACACGAGCACCACAAGATCATCATCATTCAAAAACGTCAAATAAACAATAGTAACTAGGGTGTAAGGTTCGCTTTGTCGACTGCACATGGGAGTTAGAGAGGGCTAATTTTCGAGTTGTAGCTCTTAACCACATCTGAGACTCTTGATAGATGATTGTGTTGCAATAAGTGAAAATTGGGATGTTTGGGATTGCGACTTGGGTTGGTTCTGAATCTTGAAACCTTTCCCTTTTTCAAAGTCCAAAACTATGTGGTTATACTAGTTGGCGGTTATTGGGTTTCTAATTGATTAACCACTAACCGATTAGTCAATTAGCAATAACTACTAAGCATAATACTACTAACCAAAATCAAAACCAATAAGAAATTAGCGGTTATCGATTAATCACTAACTGTATTTATCGGTTCGAATGTCGGTTAACCACTAATGATCATATTATTTGTGACTAATTACATACTTTTTTGTGATGATTTAGACCAATTTTTAATGAGCAAGTACTTTTTGTCTGATCGTTGAGCGATCTGGAATAGTAGTGATTGTGAGTTAGTGCGAGGAATTGAAGCCAGATGTCTGACTAAATTTCACCCATGAAAAGTTAGAGGATAATACGATGTCGAAAATTTTGATTAATTCATCATTTATATAAATAAAAACTATGCATATAATAAGTACGATATCTTAAGCGCCTAAACTATCATTTACATTAAGAACTTATAACTACTATTTTAAACTTATAATGAAACTCATCCAACCAACAAGTTGTTTTTTTTTATATCCATCCAACGCGAGTTGTTGCATATATATGGACTATTTTTCTTCTTCGTTTTTTATTGTAATTACATGAAATGGCTGTTGGCTCTCAAACGATCATAAAAATTACTCTTATATGGACTATTATTCAACACACAAGCATTATCCACACAAGCCCTGGCTCGAGAGTACTCGAGAGTATCTACTTCCATATATATACATGACCATTATTCTTCTTCGTTTTTTATTGTAACTACACGAAATGACTCTTGGATCTCAACGGAACATGGAAGACGTCATAACGAACTTCGACTGGGAACGAGAAGCAAAGGTCGTTCCTTCTCCTATGTTGTACCAAACTTCTCACTCATATCCAACTCCGTCGGATCTTCTCCATCGGAGAGGGACCAATCGAAGCTCCGAACCAAAGCAGCCAAAACCAACGGAATCTGTCGGGTGGCCAATGACACTCCGGGGCACATCCTCCTCCCAGCACTGAACGGCAGAAACTCGAAATCCTGCCCCCTGAAATCCACGCTCGACCCAATGAACCTCTCCGGCTTAAACGACATCGGGTCATCCTCCCACACGTTCGGATCCCTAGAAATAGCCCATACGTTGATCACAATATGAGTCCCTTCAGGGACCGTGTAATTCATCACCTCGCAAGTCTCCGGCGATCGATGAGGCAGCAACAGTGGCGCCGGTGGGTGTAGCCTCAGCGTCTCCTTGACAATTGCGCTCAAGTATGGAAGCTGAGCCACCGCAGATTCGTCGATCAACGGTTTCCCATCAAGCGGTGGTGACAATTTTGTCTTCAGCTCGTCCCGCAGCTTGTCCATCGCTCCCTTGTTTCGAATTAGCTCCGCCATTGCCCATTCTATTGTAGCCATGCTAGTATCCGTGCCGGCAGAGAACAATTCCTGCAAGAAACCCAGTTGGAAAAGCAAAGCTCCAAATTGAAGTCTAATTAATCCTTTTCACGATAGGCAGAAAAAAAGTAGCTGGATTCTCAATTAACTCCTTTGCAAAGCTAATTAAGCTCAAGATATTTTATGTGTGTAAACTAGGAAATCGAATTGAATTTTTTTTTCCTTATGAACTTACGAGACTCAACCAGTCAATCTGGTCATCATCGAGTCCATTTTCAAGGAAAATATCCAAGAAGTCTTCAGCACCACCAGGTCGCCCTCGCTCTCTCCTCTCTTTGACTTCAGGCTGCCAGACGAAGTAGAGCTCATTGCAAAGGCGAAACATCTCGCGTCTCAGGCCCTGAGGATCCAGTTTCTTCAGAACTGGGAAATAATCGGCGAAATTAGTTTTAGTCCCCAGTTCCATCATCCTCCAAATCAGCGACTTCAATCGATTCGCAGTCTCGCTGCTACTTTCGAACCCGATGCAATCTCGCGAGAACATGAGATTCGACAACGAGTCGAAGATAGCAGCGAAAACTACTTCAGCGATCTTAACAGGCTCCCCTGATTTCCCTTGGAGAAATTCCACCATCCGGGCGACCTTCCTCTCCCTGACGGCGGCCTGAGATTCGATCGCCCTCGCGGAGAATATCTGGTTCCTGAACATTGCTCGGAAGGCCTTCCACCGGTCGTTGTTGCAGTTGGAAGCCCAAACGATGGCCTTGCGGTCGAGCTCCACCGTGTCGTAAGGCACAACCGTGGCGACGTATCTGGCGGAGAGGAGGCGGTCGTGGGTTCTTAAGATTTCTGCGGCGGCCGCAGGGGAAGAGGCGACGACGACGAGCTGGGAGCCGAGGCGGAGGGAGATGAGAGGGCCGTAGAGCTGGGAGAAGCGTTGGAGGGAGACGTGAACTTGCTTGCCGAGGTGAGGGATGTTGCCTATAATCGGCCATGGCTTTGGCCCTGGCGGCAGCCGGTGTTTGGAAGCTGAAGAGGTGGAGAGGAATCGGGAAACGGCGATGACCAAGGCGAGGAGAAGAAGATAGAGAACCATATTTTGTATGGTTTTGATAAATTGATATTACACACCAGAGATGGGTTTTTATTTATAGAGCCACCGGTTCAGTCACTTCCTAGGTCGCAACTACAACTAAACACAATCAAGTCAATGGTGTCACCTTGACCAATTCCTTACATTATAATGAGAAGTCATGTTCTTAATACTTCATAATCAGGTCACTGTTGGCTGCTATATATATACATTGTTTAATTAATGTACTTCACAAAATTCTGGAAATTGTTGCCCTGCGTTATCCTGGCAATACTACTAGCTATATTTTATATGATTAATTACTTTATATGTGGTTTGTCATTGAGTGCGCCAAGGTGCTGTAATTGTAGTGGCACATCTTACACTTATCTGGTTCATCTGAAATTTTTATGGAAAAAAAAAAACTAGAGTTAAAAACTCCGCCATCTTTTAAGCTTTTTTATTTATGAAAGAAGAGCCTTGTTGTGCGATAAAAAAAACAATAATAATGACATAGGAACTCGAACATAACATCTTACAAATCAATTGTTAATGCTTACAGGTGTGGGAATTTTAATAAAAGATATTTTGATCGTCACATAGTTTAATAGCACGTCATAGAGTTAAATATTGTAAGAAAAATAGTATAAAATTAGTATGTGAAGATTTTCCAAAATAAGCAGTTCATGAGAATTGTAAGCCCATTACCCAAGTTTGAATGAAATAAAGTCCCGTTTTTATCAAAAGAAATAAATTTAGGATCAATAATTGATTCTTAACATGTTATCTAAGCATTTGATCAAGGAGCTCGATGTGTTTGAATATGGATGACCTCTAACTTCATTGTTGATTTATAGAACTGATATAATTGGTATGTGCGAACTTTAAACTATAAGTTGGATTTGGACTGCAAGAACCTTCAAACTAGTATAAGATTTGTTTTGTAGGATGTTTTTCCACCAAAAACAAAATTTACAGGGGTTACATATGTTACATTTTTTTATTAAGTACTATTTAAATAATTCGAATATAAATTTTCCAAATTTAAGACTATTGATATTACACTAAACCATTCTCCCATTCGTTATTCCTTATATTACCAAAAGATTAAAGCACTTTCAACCAAAAGACCTTTCAACAACGGATCGGGTCACCTTGACCAATTTCTTATGTTGCTGACTCATGTACCCATTCATAGATAACAAACGAATAAGCCAACGGTATTTGACCCACATGAGCTCACAACATACACATAAGTGTTTTTAATACATCATAATCAGGTCACTGTTGGCTGCTATATATATAATTATTTAATGTACTCCATAAAATTCTGGAAATTGTTTCCCTCTGAGACAACAAAGAGATTAAATACATTTTGAACATCTCCTAACGTCGAATGTGAAAAGTAAAAACCAAAGTTTGTCATTCATTGCAAAATTAATTCTCTGCTCTTCCCTACACAGTGCCCAACTTTCTAACGCCATCTAGTTTGTTTGACAACTCTAGAGTGGAGAATAAATTCAAGTTTTATTTATATAAATCTAATCAAATGGGAAACGGATCATTTATGTAAGTTTTCTATGTAAAATTATGCATAACCCTAACTTACCATTTATGGAAGACAATTAAATTTCTCTCCAAATTAATTTTATGGAATATATCTTTCTTGTTTTCAGTCATTATTGAAATTTCTTTGCACAAGATTGGTACTTTTTTTTTTCAAAATTTAAGTGAAAAAAGCAAGCAGTACAGAGTGGTGCCAGGTTTTTTTATTGTCTCCACCGGTGTATTGTTTTGGGAAGGTTTCTAAGACTACTATGGTGCGTATTTTTTCCTTCTAACTTATTCACATCAAACTACCATATTTAATATCTAAAAGGGTGTGTGTCTTGGTTTGTTTGACAGATGTAGAACGGAGAGTAAATTCAAATTTTATTTATATACATAATCAAATAGTAATGGATATTTTGCATGAATTTCATATATATGTAAAATTAGGTATAGCTCTTACTTACAATTTTTTGAAGACAATTAATTTTTTCCTATTGTAGTTTCACGAGTTACATCTATTACATTTTATGTTTAATTGAAAATTTCTTTTATTTCTATAGATATCTTTCCAATATAAAATGAAGGGTTATGGTATAATATGTTCCTCTACTATGCAGTTTTATCAAACATGCTCCTTTATTATTTTTTACATCAAACATGTCCCTATACTTTGGAAAAATTATCAAACATGCCCTTATGTTAAAATTTCCATTAAAAATGGCCAACCACGATTGAACCGAGATTCACACGACCCGACATCGAAAAAATTGGGGGAGAAATGTCAGTTGTTCCTCCTCGTTTATTTCTCCATGTATCGTTAAAGTGAAATTATCAGAGGTATTTGGCTATACAAAAGAAACAAAACAATTCTAAAGTGAAATTATCAGGAATATTTTAGACATAGGTGTCGCCCAAAGCAAGGTTCAACCATGGTTGATAGTTTTTTAATGCAAATTTTAACAGAAGGGCATGTTTGATCGTTTTTACAAAGTATAGGAACATGTTTGATGTAAAAAATAGTAGAGAGGCATGTTTGATAAAACTGTATAGTAGAGGGGCATATTATGCCTATAACCCTAAAATGAATCATAACGCTCACGCATATAGAAGACAATTATATTCCCCCCAAATTAATTTAATATGCTATGTGTATTTTGTTTCAAGTCATAACTGAAATTTATTTGATACCTTTTTCAAAATTTAAGTGAAAATGAAGACGGTATAGAGAGGTACCATGGTGGTTTGGTAGTACAAAAAGAAATTCTCAGAATGTATTGGAAATGTATATTATTTTGTAGAAGATTATGAACTCGTTTAGCCTAGTTAACAAATTTTGAAATCCAAAAATTAAGAGAATGAAGATAAAAATTGATTAAAAAGATAGAAAAAATAATAAAAAATCATTTAATCTCACACTTTAGAACCGATCCCGCTTAAAATCAAGTGAAAAGATATAACTATGTATGAGTGGATAACCAAAAGTCATTGACTCTATCTACCGTACCTCTAATTAAACGTGGGAAGTGAATCGAGTGTATGTGTTATTAAAAATGAAAAGACAGAAGTGCTCGCAGATTATTATTTAATCGTAGCTCTCTAATAAATGCATAAATTAATACATGATTTAAACCTCCCAATTCAACCATCTCAGCCCCAACGAGAACCAAAGTGCCCACAATCCACATGCATGCAAGTACGTACGACAATTCATCAATTAAGCGCTCATGAGTGAGTGACCGCCGTCCACCACAAGATTGACCCCACTGATGTACTTGGAATCGTCACTCACAAGATTCAACGCCGCCTTCGCGACATCGTCGGCCCTCAACACAACACCCTTGAGGTTCCCTTTGGCCTTGAACGCCTCCTCGAACGCCGCCTCATCCATCCCCGTGATGTCCATGCTCAGCGGAGTCGGCACCCCGAACGGCGAGATGCAGTTGACCCGGATCCCGACCCGCCCCAACTCCACGCACAAATTCTTCGTCAGCCCCACCACGGCGTGCTTCGACGCCGTGTAAGCGTGTGGGGCCATCCCGTAGCTGGCAGTTGCGGCACTGCCAGTCAGGAGGATAGCCCCACCATTACCGCTCTTCTCCATCACCCTGGCCGCGTGCTTTGCGGCCAGGAAGGATCCGTAGACGTTGACGTCGAACACCTTCCTGAAGACTTCGGGGGTGAGGGAGGAGATGCGGAGGTCGTGTGGGGTGATCTTCTGACCCGATATCCCGGCGTTGCTGTACATGATGTCCAGCTTCCCGTGCAACGAAACGGCAGTGTCCACCGCGTTTTGCATGTCGGCGTCGCTCGTCACGTCGCATTGGATGTAGGTCACGGGCTGGCCGGATTCGGATTCGATCTCGTTGCAGAGAGTGCGACCGAGTTCCGATGGCTGGATGTCGGCTATCAGGACTTTGGCGCCGTGTTGGGAGAAGAGCCTGGCCGCGGCGGCTCCCAGTCCCATGGCTCCGCCGGTGATCACCGCTACCTTGCCTTGCAAGCGTTTCCCCGCCGCCATTGCACAGTTGAGGTTTCTGGACGGCTAGCTTTTTTTTGATGTGGGAATTAATTAGTGGGAAGAAGCAATTAATTACTTTCTGTGTGCTGTGTGATTTAATGCTTCTGAGTCTGTAACGTAACTATATATAGCCAAGGGCGTACGTGTGCTACTACGTACATAATACACTCTTTGAATTGATATTAATGGAACATGATGATAGGATTGATGGATGGAGGATCCGTTTACGTAAATATGATACAATGGATCTGGCCGGACTGCCGCAGGCCGTCAGTCTCCATGTCAAGTCATGTCATGTCATAGGCTTTGAACATGTACGAATAGTATATTGTCTTTGAACGCATGCATGCATTTATTACGTTAGTTCACAAATAAAATAGAGCCGGTTTCAATATATTTGAAGCGATACAGATTACAGAGCGATTGTGAAGTATATATAGTAATTTTCTACATTGCCTAACCCTATTTCAAACTGGTAAAAAAACAAAGTTACTAGCCAACCTTAGGATATAAATTCAAACGAGTATAAGCTCATACATTGTCTATAAGGGAGACCTCACGACTTTTAGTCGATGACATATAATATAATGAGATTCAAGTCAAAAACAAAATTAACCTGATTGTAACATACTAAAACCCCATAAATATTATCACTCTAATATTGTCAGGAACTAATATAAGATCAATAGTCCATTTTAAAAAATATATATAAGATCAATATTTTGTATATCTCATAACTCTTCAGATTAATATTGTAATCAATTGGTTCTTAATATCAAAACATTTGACCATGTTTTTTTGGTTGGAAGAACACCAAAAGCAATATAAGATTTTTTCCCCCAGTCTTTTAACCAAACGAATTATTGTAATTCATTAGATGCTGATCGAATATACGGTGACCAGCTAGGGTATTAAGAAATAAAACAAAGGATCTAAATTTTGTAGCAAGAAGGGGCAAGAACTTTCTCAATCAAGAGACCTTTCAATTCACGTATGCCGCCGCAACCACACCTCAGTGACTTGAATTCAAGGTGTTGAATGGATCGGTCACCCCATGGCGATTTAAATGTTCGCTCAACCCGATAAATCGGGTCACCTTTATAAATTTCTTATGTTGCTGGCTGATGTAAAGGCTCACGGTATTTGACTATCTTCACAACATACTCAGACGTACGTGTTCTCAATACTTCGTAATCACGTCGTGGTTGGCTGCTAGTGATTCAGCATATGAACAAAGCCAAAGAAAAGGTGATGAGATATATATAGGTTCAGGCTAGCGTATGTCAGTCGTACATTATATATACTTTCGTCGAGTTTTACTATTTAGAGCACGAATTAACCAAAATCTTGGGCATGATATTATACTCCTAATTTCTAATGGGTGAACCCCAGTTCCTAATTCTCTAACCCAAGCCACAAGATTTATTTAATCTAAACAATAACAACCTACGGTTTTGATTCAACGAAATATATTGAAGTGCAAAAACCAAGTGTGAACACAAGCGTACGCTGTACGCCTGACGTACGCTAGCCTTTGCCATATATATATGTGTGTGTGTGTGTGCACGCCTTTTACGGTACCCCGGGTGAAATCCGGGGTACCGAATACCTTGAGTATGAAAACGCTATCTAGACCTCGAATTAGCATGATTTTTGGGCATGATACTATACTCTAACCCTTAATGAGCGAAACCTAGGTCCTAATTATCTAAATCATAAACTATATACCCTAATATGGTGCATTGGTTTTTTTGCCTATATTTGGATGAATCATAACCGTTGATTATTGTTTCTAAATAAATTGATCTTGGGGTATAAGATTTAGAAAATTAAGACCTAGATTTTGATCATTAAGGATTAGAGTATAGTATCATGTTCGAAAGATTAGTCAATTCAAGTTCTGAATAGCATTTTCTTACTAAATATATGTTACCCCGAATTTCACACGGGGTACCGTAAAACTCACTATATATATATATAAAGAATGTATATAATATGTCAGTACACAGCCATACGAAACAATCGGCCAGGTCAAAAGCGGGTTTAATATGATGATGAGTTTTGGATCAAGAGTGAGTTTTATTTACTTTTGTAATTGGAGGGTTGGGGGTGAATTTTGTTAAAAATCGACCCGCTTTTCATTCAATCCGCACACAAAATATAAAAATAAAATTCCTTTTGAGAACCCATTTCTACCTTTTGAGAACCTATTATCTAATAAATTAATAATAGCTTTAACACTATTCCAAATTACTAAATTTATGAACCGCCGCATAGCACGGGCTTTCGTGCTAGTTTTTTTTTTTTTTTTTTTTTTATAAAGGTGATGATTAAAATTAAAAGAAACAAAGAGTTTGATACAAGGAGGATCAAGAGAATTGATCCGAAAGCAACAAGAACCAAACCCTGCTCAGGGGGGCAGATCGCTTCTGCAGGAAGGGGAAGCAAATAAGACAAGAAATAAAACAGAAGAAACCAGCACACCAAGCACGCCGGCAATAGGGAGGCCTAGGATCCGCCTTCAAGACTAGAATTTCCAACGAAAGGGAGCGGGCAACACTGATGCATAAGAGCAAGCCACTCTATCCGGCGATCATCATTCAAGATTCCAGCTGCCCTAGCCCAACTCAAAAGAACTCTGCAAATCTTATGAAAGATCACGCGCCAATGGGACGATTTATCATGGAAAATCCTGGCATTCCTCTCCTTCTAGATCTCCCAGGAGAAGGCATGTAAGAGACCAGATGCGAAGTCATTCTTCCATTGGGTTTGGCTGCAACGACTCCATTAATTTTTTTTTTATTACACATTGTTTTGGTCATACACCTTATAGCTTCCTTGTTCGTAGACAAAGCTTTTCTGAATTATCTTTCATTTCAAAGATGACTTTTGTCAACATTTTATAAATTGGGAATCAACTTATTATTTACGACAAAAACTAGCACATGTCTGATATCATTATAAAAAAAATATATAATACATGCTTATGTTCACAAATATTAGGTGCATTTTATATACTTTGATGAATCAGATTTATCGATTATCATTATTTTGATTAAATTGATCTTATGGATTTTGTTTAGAAATTAGGAATTGAGGGTCATCAATTAAAAGTTATGAAATAATATCATGTCTAAAATTTTGATGAAGTCATTATATAAATAACAAAATTGGGCATACGATAAATACAATAGGCTAAACCATTATTTAAATTAAGAACTTAAAACTATTATGTTGAATATTTATTTATCGAATTAACCTAGCTATAAACTGGTCCTTGTTTCATGACATGCATTAAGATCTCATATGAGAGCTCAAAATATTTCTAGAATAATGATTACAACAACACAATAGACCTTTTTGACTTTGTCATTTTCATTGCTATTTCTGGCTGTCTTCGTTCCTTTTTGCAATAAAAGTTTTCGTATCATCATTCGTAAAAAAAACACAAAAGCCAAAAATATCCAAAATAATTTGATTATCATAAGAAGTGATATAAATGTAAATGATAAACAAAACTCATTCGTCCAACGAACCGGGAACAAAGCTTGTACAAATACATTCACACAAGCCTTGATTTAAGATTAGTTCCATATATGGACTATCATTCTCCTTCCTTTTTTTTATTGTAACTGCATAAAGTGACTCTTGGCTTTGAAACAAACATGGAAGACGTCATAACGAACTCCTGCTGGGAACAAGAAGCAGAGGTCGTTCCTTCTCCAACGTGGTCCCGAACTTCTCACTCATATCCAACTCCGTCGGATCTTCTCCATTGGAGAGGCACCAATCGAAGCTTCGAACCAAAGCAGCCAAAACCAATGGAATTTGTCGGGTGGCCAATGACACTCCGGGGCACATCCTCCTCCCAGCGCTGAACGGTAACAACTCAAAATCTTGCCCTCTAAAATCCACCTTCGAACCAATAAACCTCTCCGGCTTAAACGACGAAGGGTCATCCTCCCAGACCGTCGGATCCCTAGAAATAGCCCACACGTTGACCAAAACCTGAGCCCCTTCAGGGATCGTGTAATTCATCACCTCGCAAGTCTCCTGCGCTCGATGCGGCAGTAACAACGGCGCCGGAGGGTGTAACCTCAGCGTCTCCTTCACAATTGCGTTCAAATATGGAAGCCGAGATACTTCAGATTCGTCAATTATTGGTTTTCCCTTGAGCAGTGATGACAATTCAACCTTGAGCTCCTCCCGCAGCTTATCCATCGCTCCTTTGTTTCGAATCAGCTCTGCCATCGCCCATTCTATTGTAACCATGCTAGTATCCGTACCGGCGGAGAACAATTCCTACACAAAAACCAGAGGAAAAGCTAAGCTCTTCTCACAATAGAAAGAAAAGTAGCAACATTCTCAATTAGCTCCTTTGCAAAACTAAGCTCAAAATAATTATTGCGTGTAAACCAGAAAATCGAATTGACATTTTTTTCCCTTTTGAACTTACGAGAGTCAACCAGTCTATCTGGTCATCATCGAGTCCATTTTCCAGGAAAACATCCAAGAAATCTTCAACATCAAATCGCTCTCCCCGCCGCCGTCGTTCCCTCCTCTCTGTGACGTAAGGCTGCCAAACAGAGTAGAGCTCATTACAACAGTGAAACATCTCACGTCTCAGGCCCTGAGGATCCAATTTCCTCAGAACTGGAAAAAATTCCGCGAGATTAGTTTTAGTCCCCAGTTCCATCATCCTCCAAATCAGCGACTTCAGTCGCTTCGCAGTCTCGCTGCTGCTTTCGAACCCGATGCAATCTCGCGAGAACATGAGATTCGACAGCGAGTCGAAGATGGTAGCGAAAACCACTTCGCCGATACGAACCGGCTCCCCTAATTTTCCATCAAGATATTCCGCCATCTGGGAGACCTTCCTCTCCCTGACGGAGGCCTGAGATTCGATCGCCCTCGCGGAGAATATCTGGTTCCTGAACATTGCTCGGAAGGCCTTCCACCTCTCGTTGTTGCAGTTGGAAGACCAAACAATCGCCTTGCGATCGAGCTCCGCCGTGTCGTAAGGCACGATGGTGGCGACGTATCTGGCGGAGAGGAGGCGGTCGTGGGTTCTCAGGATTTCTGCGGCGGCTGCCGGGGAAGAGGCGACGACGAGGAGCTGGGAGCCGAGGCGGAGGGAGATGAGAGGGCCGTGGAGCTGGGAGAAGCGTTGGAGGGAGACGTGAATTTTCTTGCCGAGGTGAGGGATGTTGCCTATAATTGGCCATGGCTTTGGGCCTGGCGGCAGCTTGTGTTTGGAAGCTGCAGAGGTAGAGAGAAATCGGGAAACGGTGATAACGATAAGGATGGTGATGGCGAAGGTGTGGAGAAGAAGATAGAGTACCATTTTTTTTTTTTTTTTTTTTTTTGTCACGAGGATTGATTTTGACATAAGTTGATATATAGCTGCTGGGCTTTTATTTCTGGAGCCACCGGTTCAGTCACTTCGTGGCAACTTACAACCAAAACAAAAATAGTATTTTGTAAAAATTGAAAAAAACACTATCCAAGTAATAAGTATGGCAAGATTTTGGAATTGCTATGCAAGTTCAGTGGCATTAGTATGATGTACTCATTCATAAAGAAAAAAACAAATAAGCTAACAGTATTTGACTAACTTCAATTATAAGAAAACAAATAAGCTAACAGTAGCTCGCTAGTTTCTACGATCATGACGCCGGCCGCGACATGTGGATCGGAACACCATGACGATTTAAATGTTCTCTCGACTCATCAATACATTGGATCGGGTCAGCTTCGCCAATTTCTTATGTTGGTGGCTGATGTACTCATTCATAAACACAACAAATAAGCCAACGGTATTTGACCCACATGAGCTCACAACATACTCAGATGTGTTCTTAATATACTTCATAATCAGGCCACTACTGTTGGCTGCTATATAATTTATTAATGTACTCAACAAAATTTTGTAAATTGTTGCCCTCTGACGCACACTGCTGGCTGCACTCAGCTAGCTAGTGATTCAGCATATATGAACAGCCAAATAAATATAGCCGTAGCTAGGGGTGGCTATACAGTCCGGTCCGGTTAAATTGGCCCAAATTGATCCGGTCCAGTCCGGTTTTTTTGAAAATATAAGGACCGAAGATTGGATTGGATATAGTCCGGTCTTAATCCGGTCCGGTCTTGACCCGGTCCAGTCCCAATTCGGTCTTGATTTTATATTGAGATTGTGGGAATTTGAGTGGCCTAAGGCCTAAAAGGGTGAGGAGTTGGTTAAGTTTTGTACTAAGTGCAAAGGTTTGTGACCGTTTATGCAAATTACCCTTAAGTTTTGGGTGTTGAGCTCTCTTATCCGGTCTTTATCCGGTTTTTTACCTCTAATCTAAGCCCAAAGATTGGATTGGATTGTTTACTATCCGGTCCCGGTCCGGTCTCGGTCCGGGTTATACGGTCCGGTTTCCGGTTTTTCATCCGGTCCCGGTCCAAATAGCCAGCCCTAGCCGTAGCGCGCCACATGAAAGGTGACGACTGACGAGATAACCTTATAAGGAAAAAAAAGGTGACGCGATATTTATTAGAAGAATATATATATATATATGGCTACTTCGGTGTACTAAATAAACCAGTTTGTCTCAATAACTCAAGTTGTTGAGAAAAAGTTATGTTGGATCTTATGTCACTCTCTAATATGTAGTATTAGTCTAATATGATAATATAACATAGAAATTCATGTGCTTCTTGTCCATCATACGACAAGTAATGGTTGACATTGTTTTCACATGAATTGCATGTTCAAAATGATGATTATGAAACGAGTGCATTGGATGCACCAAAAAAAGTCGGTGCACTAAATACGCAATTATATTTACATAGACAACTACAACAATATTAAATTACTATGCTGGCTGATGGTAATATAAATACGAATGATCCATCGTCCATCAAACAAACCAAAAACGTAACCCACGTACCAAGTTAGAAGAGAAAGAGAAAAAAAAAAGATTAATATAGAGAGAAGCTATGGCTGAGAAAGTGGTAGAAGTTGGGGAGCTGATGAGAGCAAACGACTATTTCATCATCCCAATTAGTGTCGCAATCCTGATCACCCTTCTTTCCGTGATCATAACGAAAAGGACATTAGGGTCCTCGAAATCTGCCGGCGGTGAGAGAACTCCACCGGGGCCATGGAAGCTGCCGATTATCGGGAACCTCCACCAGCTGGCAACCGGCTCGTCCCTCCCACACCGCCGGCTAGCGGAGCTGGCCCAACAGTACGGTCCTCTCATGCAACTTCAGCTCGGCGAAATCCCCACGGTGATCGTGTCGTCCGCAGAATGGGCCAAAGAGTTCATGCAGGCCCACGATCTCAACTTCGCCAGCAGGCCCTTCATCCCCGCGGCCAACATCATCTTCTACGGCGGCCGAGACATCGGATTTTCCCCTCACGGACCCTACTGGACAAAGATGAGGAAGATTGTGGCCATGGAGCTTTTGGGCGCCAGGCGTACCAAGATGTTGCGGCCCATCATGGAGGAAGAGATGGCGAAGCTCGTGGGCCTGATCAACACGAAGCCCACCATCAACCTCACCGAAATGATGCTCTCCTTGGGCAACTCCATCACGTGCCGTGCCGCCTTTGGCAAGATTCAAAAGCAAGAGGAAGTTTTCTTGCCGTTTATTAAACAGTTCATGAAGATGCTGGGAGGGTTCAGCCTTGTCGACCTCTTCCCTTCCAGTAACTTGCTGCGGCTACTCGTTGCCAACGCAGCCGAGAGAAAACTGAAGAAGGTTCACTCCGCGGCCGATGCTATCATGGAAACTATAATCAACGACCGTTTAGCTAAGAGATCATCAAAAAAAGCAGCTGCTGGAAACGACGATGAAGATCTTCTTGGCGTGCTTCTGAATCTTAAAGACACTGACGACTTGGGCTTCACTGAGATTAAAGCTGTCATCCTCGTAAGTCACATGTTAATTCCATTAATTGTGTATTAATCGATCTCATGACGATGACATATATTAATATTATTGCAGGACATGTTTCTGGCTGGATCTGATACGTGGACCATTACCGTCGAATGGGCAATGTCTGAACTCATGAAGCATCCGAGAGTCATGGAGAAAGCGCAAAGAGAAGTGAGGAAAGTTTTTAATGGGAAAGGTTGTTGATCTATCTAACTGTACGGAAATAGTAAACGGACAATGAACACGAGTTTTACGTGGTATCCCTGGATATCCAGGACTAATCCACGGAAGAGCGATAGAACACTCTTCGGCTACTGTTCTTACTGATTGAGTTTGATCGATAGTTCCACTGATACAACATACACTCATAAAGACCCTAATGGCCGAACCCTAGCACCACGGGAACAAGACTCGACGTGGGCTAGTAAAGGTTGCATGGGCCGAGACTCAAAGCTACTTCTATTGGGCCATTAGTTTACGTACTCACAACCAACAAATGCAGAATGAATATTTAACAGCCTCCCCCAAATTGATGCCGGTTAACGAGCATCAATTTGTCAGACAGGAAACGGTGTCTGCTTGTCGAGAAAGACTTGGTGAGCAAATCTGCAATCTGGTCTTCAGTACGTATGTAATGTAGTGCAATCGACCCATCTCGTACCTCATCCCGAATATAGTGCACATGAATCTCAATGTGCTTCGTACGATCATGCAGCACCGGGTTCTCTGCGATCCTAATCGCACTGGTATTATCAACAAACAGATCCATGGGAGTCGTGCAACATATACCCATATCAGTAAGAAGTCGTCTCAGCCATGTCAGCTCGGAAGTCACATCAGACATCGCTCTATATTCAGCTTCAGTGGATGACTTAGAAATCTTATCCTGCTTCTTGCACCTCCACGAAATAAAAGATTGCCCGAACTGCACACACCAGCCTGTAGTAGATCGTCTGGTGTCTATACACCCTGCATAGTCCGAATCTGAGTAGGCTTTTAGAGTATCCGAACCTGTGGAGGGAAAATACATACCAACTTCTCGAGTTCCCTGCAGGTATCGAAGTATGCGGTATACAGCTGCTAAGTGATCAACCCGTGGATCACCCATAAACTGACTCACTACTTGAACTGCATAAGCGATGTCTGGGCGAGTGGCCGATAAGTAAATTAAACTTCCAACCATACTCCGATACTGTGAACCATCTTTAACTCTCTCCCCCGAGTCCTTGCTCAACTTCAGATTACATTCCATCGGAGTATTTACCGGCTTGCAGTCTTCCATGTGATGATCACTAAGTAGGTCACTAATATACTTCTTCTGACTGAGCAATAGACCATCCTTAGTACGAGAAACCTCCAGTCCGAGGAAGTATGATAAATCTCCCAAATCTTTTATTCGAAACGCCTTCTGCAACCCTTCTTTTAAACTCTGAATGCCATCTGAATCGGATCCTGTGATGATCATGTCATCTACATAAAGTAGAAGAAGAACAATACCCTTCGGAGTGGTCTTGACAAATAGAGATGGATCGTTCAAACTTTGGCTGCAGCCCAGGTCTAGAAGAGTAGCCTGAAACGTTTCAAACCAGACTCGAGGTGCCTGCTTCAACCCGTATAGAGATCTGTTCAGCTTGCATACCTGCCCAGGAGTCCCTACATTATAACCAGGTGGCTTCTCCATGTATATAACTTCATCTAAATCCCCATGAAGGAATGCGTTCTTCACGTCAAGTTGAGCAAGAGGCCAATGTTTCATAGACGCCACTGCTAGAAGAGTTCGGACAGTAGACATGCGAGCCACAGGAGCAAAGGTCTCAGTGTAGTCCACCCCGTGCTCCTGTGTATATCCTAAAGCCACTACCCGGGCCTTATGGCGCTCAATCGACCCATCCGGAAACATTTTAATAGCGTACACCCACTTACTACCAATCGTCGGGATATTCGGTGGACGGTCAACCACGGTCCATGTATTGTTGGCATGATGTGCATCAAATTCACACTCCATCGCCTCTTCCCAGACAGGATCCCCCTGAGCGTCTTTATACCGGGTAGGAACAACCAGAGAAGTGACCCCATATGCCAAGTAGTCATCGAAATGGGCAGGAGGTATACCTTTTGTGCTGCGGACGGAGCGGCGAAGTGGAAGAGAAGCTGGGGCCGAGTCCATAGGTGGCGATGATGTAGCTGTGGCCAAAGAAGAAGGTGTGGCCGAGGGAGAAGCATGACCCGAAGAAGAAGCTGCGGCCGAGGGTGGAGTAGTGGCCGAAGAGGAAGATGCTGCCGAGAGAGAATCAGTGGGCGGAGACTAGGTGAGGCCGAGAATGGATGGCTGGCCGAGGAGCTGGGGGAGTTTGGGTCTTCGGGGGGCAGCCAAGGAGCAATATCAACTGGAGGGTCATCATCAATTGAGAACATGGGCAGAATACCAGTAGGAGGAAAGATGGACTCGGGTTCAGAATGGGTTGTAAAAAATTTGAGGTGTTCAAAGAATACAACAGTGCTAGCAACACGAATACGTTGGGACACAGGATCATAGCACAAGTACCCTTTATGAACATCACTATACCCCATGAACGCACATTTAGCAGTTTTGGAAGTCAATTTAGTACGTTCACGACGAGGCATCAAAACAAAGCACAGGCACCCGAAAACACGAAGACGAGAGTAGTCAGGAGCACGAGAATAGAGTTTATAGAAAGGACTCTCATTGTCAAGAACGGGAGTGAGTTGATAATTGATTAGCCTAACTGCAGTAACCACGGCCTCTGGCCAGAAACGCCCAGGAACAGAAGATGCTAATAACAAGGCACGAGTGAGCTCAACTACATGGCGATTTTTCCGTTCAACTAGCCCATTTTGTTGAGAAACCCCAGGACAAGATTTTTGACTTAGAATCCCACGCGAACGGTACACCTCACGTAAAGGAAGAGAGCTGAATTCCCCTCCAGGATCGGAGCGAATGATTTTAACTGGTTTGCCAAACTGAGTCTGAATCATGTTAAGAAATTCAATTGCTACAGATTTGAGATCGGATTTTAATCGAAGTAGATAAATCCAGGTGTACCGAGTTGCATGGTCAATAAAAAGAGCAAAATACCGAAATCCATGTCGAGAAAGAACAGGGGCAGGTCCCCAAAGATCAGTATGTATCACATGAAAAGGTTCGGTAATAACAGTAGTACTGGAAGGATAGGAAATACTGGCAGTTTTGGCTTCAACACAACTGGTACAGGAATGAATTTCAGGAATGCTGACACGAGTTTTACCAAGTAATGACTTTTGAAACATAAGAGAAAGACGAGCTGAGTGGGGATGACCTAGGCGAGCATGCCACAAATCCCACTGCTTATTCGACGAACTTGACACAGCTAAACAAGAACTAGACAAAGGACTACTGACAGACCTAACGACAGGAGAAATTAAATGCCCATGTAGCTCATCCAGATGAAATAGACGCCCCTGCTTACTCCCCCTTCCGATCAGACTCCCCGTCTTCGAATCCTGTATAACACAACCAGACGGGGCAAATGACACAGTACAACCTTGTTCAGTAAGCTGGCCAACGGAAACAAGATTAGGAACAAGAGCAGGCACATGAAGAGTATTCCGTAATAACATATTTTTATCCACAACATTGCCCATACCAGTAACCTTCAACTTAGACCCATTCGCCACAGTCAAATCAATGTTTCGAACAGGAGTAACATCTTTTAAAGCCGTAGTATCACAGGTCATATGATTGTAGCAAGCGGAATCAAGAAGCCAAGGTAATCGACTCTTACCTGTACCTTGCAGGGTGGCAAAAGCAGCACTGATAGCTGCACTCACAATCTGTTCGACAGTTTGAACAGAAACGCCACCGCTAGAACCATTTCCAGCTGCATTTCCCACGTCTCCAGCAGCTGGCCGACTGCTGCTCGCCTCCCCTGCTATAGACCCACGTCCTCCCGCAGCAGACCAGCGGGAATTATCTCCAGCTGAAGGGCGCCAGCGAGAGGCCTCGGAAGCAGAAGAGACACCATAGGCTGCCGTTTCTCCATAGCCAGATCGCGGAGCCATCGCAGGCCGTCCCGACGAAAATCCTCCCTCTCGTGCACCACCTTCGCGAGCCTCATTTCGTTCTTTGGTTCGGCAGTCAAGGATTATGTGTCCCATTCGCTTGCAGTATACGCAAAAATTGCGGCGGCGACAATGCTTTTGCAAATGACCCTTCTCCCGGCAGTGATGACACACTAAATCCGAGATTGGGATCCTACGCTGGAATTGCGGTCTACCTACTGCATAGGCAGCTGAATCGCGACCAGGTCCAGAGTTGGTGTGACCTGCAGCAACAGCTACCAGCGCCTCTCCTTCTCCCGGACGCATATCCATGGCCGCTTGTGTCCTTAGACGAGTTTCCTCTCTAACGAGAGTACCCAGCACTCCATCAAACTGTAGGATGTCCCGGTTCAGCAGAGTTGCACGCACAGACTCAAATTCCGGACGCAATTTCATGAGGAAATCCAGGAGTCGAGTCTGCATTCGTTCGGCTATGGCATCTTCAGTGAGAACATTGTGTGGACGGAGAGCAGCATGGAGGAGATCTTGCTCCGTCCAGATTTCCTGTGCGGCATTGAAGTATTCGGAAACGGATTTATCTCCCTGTTCCAGTCGGGTCAAAGCCATCTGAACCTCAAACTGACGTGCGGCATTCACGGTAGAGTACATAACAGAGAGATGACGCCACATACGATTTGCTGTCGGATATAAACGGAGACTGAGACAAGTAGAAGGATCTACCGAGCCCAGGAGCCACGATCGGATGCGAGCATCGTTCTGATTCCAGGTGCGAACCTCTTGAGAAGTGGCCGCTCCCTCTGGTTTTGGCTGCGTCCCATCGAGTATGCCCAGTAGATCTTTCCCTTCGATGAACACTCGGAATTGAAACTCCCAGAGTGCATAGTTGGTTGAATTCAGACGAACGGCAGGCCGATCAGAATCGATTATCGGAATCTCTGATACCATGTTGATCTATCTAACTGTACGGAAATAGTAAACGGACAATGAACACGAGTTTTACGTGGTATCCCTGGATATCCAGGACTAATCCACGGAAGAGCGATAGAACACTCTTCGGCTACTGTTCTTACTGATTGAGTTTGATCGATAGTTCCACTGATACAACATACACTCATAAAGACCCTAATGGCCGAACCCTAGCACCACGGGAACAAGACTCGACGTGGGCTAGTAAAGGTTGCATGGGCCGAGACTCAAAGCTACTTCTATTGGGCCATTAGTTTACGTACTCACAACCAACAAATGCAGAATGAATATTTAACAAAGGTGTGGTTGATGAGGCATCTATCGATCGACTACAATATTTGCAATTAGTTCTAAAAGAAACTCTGAGACTGCATCCTCCTGGTCCTTTGGCTATTCCAAGAGAAAGTAAGGAGACAGTTATGGTCAATGGATATAAAATACTGGCAAAGACAAGGGTCTTCGTCAATCTATGGGCCATCAACAGAGATCCGCACCATTGGACCCAACCCGAAGTCTTTGAACCCGAGAGGTTCCTCAACAGCTCCGTTGATTTCAGGGGAACCGATTTCCATTACCTCCCATTCGGGGCTGGACGACGGATGTGTCCGGGAATGCATTATGGGCTCGCTTTGGCTTATCTTTCCCTCGCCAATTTGATCTATCATTTCGACTGGAAGCTTCCTCACCAAATGAAACCCGAAGATTTGGACATGAGTGAAAGATTTGGCATCGAAGTGAAGAGGCAAAAGAATTTAATCCTCATCCCCGCACCATACCATCCCAGATAAACTAGCTAAACTCGGTCTACACTACTCAAGGAACACAATATTTTATTTAATAAAATTTGAAACTTGAAATGTTTCCCATATATATCCATCCCACCACATGAAATCAATCACATTTAATAAAACCTGGTTTAGTTTCAATGCTCTACATGCAATTTGTTGGTTCTTGTGGAAAGAAAGAAATTTCAGAATCTTTGAAGGAAGAGCTCAGACGAGTAAAGCAATTAGTCTCAACATCATTACTGCATCTGCATGGTTCAGTGGCTACAAGCAACCTCCAAGATTGAGGGAACCCAAGCTGAAGGGTTGTTTACTTGCTTTGCTCATATGGTTTTGGCTGAGTATTTTTTTCCCCATGTGTGTATGCTACAATAGTTTTGTGTTTGTCTTAGGTTCTACTGGTCGATGCTTTGACCTGTTGTTGGGGCTGTCTCTTGCCCTTTTCTTTGTTTAGTTTTTCTCTTTGACTAAGGACAGCAATGGATACAGAATATAGTAGAATATTGGGTCATATTTTATTATAAAATTATATACCTTAAAAAAACATAATAACCACAATTTTTATAATGTCAATTATATACGACGGTGTTTTAATATAGCGATTAGAGAATTCATCAATAGAGGAGTTTACATTCATAACAATAGCATACTTTCTTTCAAATAAAATAGTAAAGCAATCGGCGAGAAATTCATCGCTGATTTTGTTGCGCAAATAAGTTTTCACATGTTTCATTGTTGAAAATGTTTTCTTCCTGATAGGCGGTAGCCATTGAAAACGAGCAACGTCAACACTAGACAAATCAATTCGTTAAAATCACAAGGACTATACTAGTTTCGGATCCAAAGAAGGGCTGAGTCGTGGCCCAGGGTGTCCACCCCTGGATCCGCCACTAACCAATGATCCTTATTCTCATAAATAATGAGAATGAGCTCTTCTCCTTGTGTCTTTTTTGAATTTGTACATTGTCTATGTGGTTCTTTAATTTAAGTTCTTATCGTCATAATAAGAAATATAACACATGGCTCGTCCTTATTTTCTTAGATGGCTGGTAAGTTAAGCAAAATACGCTTCCACCAACTAAATTGCTAAATTCATATGGTGTTGCTAAAATCATATTTGCGACAGAAGACATGTTCCAACACTAGAGCAGTATAAGATCGACGCATGTGTCATTAGTTCCAATTACGACAAATATGTTCTAATTGCTATAGGTTCAAATTACGACAAATGTGTTCCAAGTAAACTAAGTTCTTGGTCACGGATATAATTGTTTAATTTTTTTTTTCAAACATTACTAATGAAGTGAACATTCATATTTTTAGTTATAAGTATACTGAAGAATATGCTACACATTAAAATACATATTGAACTTTTTTATGTATTTAACTTGACTATTGAACATCACGTAGTAGAAAGTTGAGTTTGAATTCTATTTTTGACTTATTCTAATTATCTCAAATATATTGTGTGCTTATAATAAGAGATATTCTTAATTAATTTTTCCGAATTTATTTTATTCTCGTTTTCTTATTTGCAATACTTCCGTAAGAAAAATTTAGCCCTTCTACTTTCAAATCCTGACGCCGCCCCTATTTGTTGCAGATTTCCTCCTTAGGACGTTGTGCTGGTTGTGTCATCTGTATTGGCCTCTTGTATGGCCGTGTGTTTTTAGCCTTCTCTTTCCCTTCTTTTTTTTTTTTTTGTGTCTTCTTTTCTTTTCTTTTTATACACCATTGATGTATATTCCTTTGGTAATGAATGTAGGATCCATATGAGGCTGGGCTTAGCTAGTATTTTTGGGGTGGCAGGCAGTGAAATTGAGGTACAAATTGTTTTGCCTCGTCACTTCGATGCCAAACTTTTCTGACACGTCTTAAATTTTTTAGTTTTATTTGGTAACAACTTCCACAAGACAATATAAGCTCTGTCACATTTCATATCACCTACTGTACTATACTATGCATGTCCACATATGAAAGCTTATCTCTCACACAGATAACTGAATGTGTGAGATTATTTCAACCACAAAGAAAATGAAACACACCATTTGCCATAAGTAGGATACATGAAGGCAGGCTGAGCTAGTTTATTTGGGGAGGTATATATGGGGTGGGAATGAGGATTAAATTGTGTAGTCTCTTCACTTCAATGCCATATCTTTCAGACATGTCCAGGTCCTCGGGTTTCATTTGGTGAGGAAGCTTCCAATCAAAATGATAGATTAAATTGGCGAGGGCAATATGAACCAAAGTGATCCCATAATGTATTCCCGGACATATGCGCCGTCCAGCTCCAAATGGAAGGTAGTGGAAATCTACTCCCCTGAAATCGACCGAGTTATCAAGAAACCTCTCAGGATCAAAGACTTCGGGTTGCGTCCAATGATCCGGATCTCTATTGATGGCCCAAAGATTCACAAAGACCCTTGTCCTGGCCGGAATCGTATATCCATTGACGATTGTCTTCTCCTTGTTTTCTCTTGGCATGGCCAAAGGACCAGGAGGATGAAGTCTCAAAGTTTCCTTCAGAACTAATTTTAGGTACGGCAACTGATCAATAGATGCCTCGTCAACTAAGCCTTCTCCATGAAAAACTCCTCTCACCTCTCTTTGCGCTTTCTCCATAATTCTTGGGTTCTTCATGAGTTCAGACATGGCCCATTCGACGCTGATAGTCGCCGTCTCGGATCCAGCAAGGAACATGTCCTGCGGTATTACATGTCATCGTCCTATCACTTAATCAAATAATGAATCAATAATAATACGCAATAAAATCTAATCTAATGAGTGACTTATTACGAGGATGACAGCTTTAATCTCAGTGAAGCCCAGGGCGTTGCTGTCTTTGAGATCCAGAAGAACACCAAGAAGATCTTGATCTTGATCATCATCATCATCGTTGTTTCCAGCTGATCTCTTAGCTATACGGTCTTGGATTATAGTTTCCATGATAGCATCGGCCTCGGAGTGAACCTTCTTCAGCTTTCTCTCGGCCGCGTAGGTAACGAGTAGGCGCAACAAGTTGCTCGAAGGGAAGAGGTCGGCAAGGCTGAAACCACCTAGAATCTTCATGAACTCTTCCATAAGCGGCAAGAAAACTCCCGCTTGCTTATGTACCTTGCCGAAGGCGGCACGGCAAGTGATGGAGTAGCCAAGAGAGAGCATCATTTCGCTGAGGTTGACACTGGACTCCGTGGCAATCGATCCCACGAGCTTAGAAATCTCTTCCTCCATTATGGGCCGCAACATCTTTGTACGTTTGGCGCTGAGAAGCTCCATGGCTACAATCTTCCTCATCTTTGTCCAGTAGGGCCCGTGAGGGGAAAACCCGATGTCTCGGCCTCCGTAGAAGATGATGTTGGCAGCCGGGATGAAGGGCCTGCTCGCGAAGCTGAGATCGTGGGCTTGCATGAACTCCTTGGCCCATTCGGCCGACGACACGATCACCGTGGGGATTTCGCCGAGCTGAAGTTGCATCAGAGGACCGTACTGTTGGGCCAGCTCAGCTAGCCGGCGGTGTGGGAGGGACGAGCCGGTTGCGAGCTGGTGGAGGTTTCCGATGATGGGCAGCTTCCATGGCCCTGGTGGAGTTCTCTCACCGCCGGCAGCTGCTTTAGACGATGAGGAACTTAATGTTCTTTTCATTATGATCATGGAAAGAATGGTGATCAAGATTGTGACACTAATTGGAATGATGAAATAATCACTCGCCATCATCGTCATGTTCTCTCTTCTAACTTAATAGTTTTTTGTTTGTTTGATGTATGGATCTGAGACGATGGCTCGTTGGTATTTATATAGAAGCATATTTCGTTATAATATTAGTAAATAATATATTTCTTGAAGAAGCAACGGAACAAAACCAGCCGCATGCAGTTCCAAGTTGACAAATCTGATCGGCAAGATCGACTACGTACAATTAATACAGGGACAAGCTTGTAGGTATAATCAATACATATATAGCTTAGAAATCAATTCTCAAAAGCGTCAAATACATCCGGCGCATCAATCAGCAACGCAAGAAAATGGTCATCGGGTGACTCCACTGATTGACTGTGTGCTTAGTCAAATTGGGTGAGCTCTTACCTCGCCATGCATGCATGCATTGTGACGATCCATTGATTATTCTTCAAAATCAGTCAAGTCACTGGGGGTTACAGCCTACATGAATTGAAAGGTTTTTGTCTCGGTCGAAAGCATTGTCACCTTTGATAATACGTGTTATTTTCAAACAAAAAGAAAATTCAGAAAATTGAATGGGTTTTTGTTAGAATGGTAGCCACAAACTTGAAGCCGAGAGAAATCCAAAAGTATGAATTTTATACCACATCTTTATATGTTTTCTTAAATGAAGTTTACGAGTAATTAGGAATTTGAATTTACACAGTCCAACCATGCAATATCTACAAATCAACAATTTATATTTGGGATTGTTAATTAGGATTCTAACACAAAATCTCTCCATCAAATGCTCTATGACTATGTTAAGAATCAATTGGTTCTAAATCTTTTTTCTTGATATAACGATGCCTTCATCTTCAAAAGGCCATCAAATGGCAGGTTGTCCAAAGTTGATTGGTGAACAACGAGTGAGAATGGTAATAGGCTCACTTCATTCCTGTTCTATAGATTGATTTTCTGACATAATCGTCGAAGGCTTCTATTCAGGGCAAAGGAAATATTTAAATGATAACCTAAATACCTCCCTTGATGATGCTTGCGGATTAGGGTCAGGAAGCTCAACAATCAGGATTAATGCACGTCGACAACATATATAGTTTTCTTTCTAACCTGTGATTTTTATGGGATATCGCTATTTCTTGAGTTATAGAAAATTAAGAGGTTTGATCTCCACCCGTGCAATAAATAAAAGTGAGCAATTAATTGTTGAGAAGATTAGACTCCCTATGTGCAAAAGACAATGTAATTGTTCAAGATAAAAGTAGCATACACATTTGTTTTAGTTGTCACATGTGGATTGAAGAAATTATGATAAGACTGAATACATTTTGTGGATTGGAATTATTTTTTCATGACTAATGTTCTATAAGAGCTACAGGATTAGTGAACAACGAAGTGATGCGTGCCTTTAAAAAATGAGAACCAGCGCAAGAATCATAGCATCAAGTCATACTTAAACAAAAAGATCGATGATTCAGTTCTCGACCCTTTCAATTCTATGACAAAAAAGTATTGAAAATATTAGAAAATATGAGGTTGCCCATATGAAAGGAAAATGTAATTCTTATTGAGATCCAAACCCACAAATACATGTGTTCTCCAAATCACTATTTTTTGGACAACCAAACTCAATAGGAATGACTAGTACAATAATACATATGATTCTTGTGGATCATAATTACTTTATTCATGATGTTATTCATAGAGGTATAGGATCGGTGAACAGTGAAGCAATGTGTGCTTTCAAAAGGTGAGAATGAGTGTAGCCATCACCATTCTCATATATCACACTAATGGAGCGTGCAAAGTTAAGGACACGATCTGTTAAGGCTACTGGCAATGGTGTTGGTTTCTGACACTCTTCTGCAATGTCCTTCCAAGCTCTAGAAATCTCCTCCCAACAAAATTCAACGGCTTCCTCCTCCAATGCCCCGTGCTCCTTCATGTAACATTCTATTGCTGAAGCAGCATGACTTCTCTCTCGCTCCCACTGAGGCAACACATCAACCATCAACAATCATCATTTGATAGTTTCAAATATTGGTAAACAAAAATTAATAAATAGTTGAATAATTAATGGTTACCTTGTGAGAGACGATATCGTTTTGAATCCTAGAAATAACTGAAGCAGCTCTGACCATCTTAGGCTCGTTGGTGACCCATTCAAAGGCCTCCCTGGTGGCTATTTCAGCTCCCATTCCAACGAAAGCCGATGTGCAAAGGATGGGAAACCCACTTGTTACATATGCATCAATCTTATACTCCTCTAGTGTTGGAACATGGTCTTTGGTACGCCATTGAACCTCTGCCAAGTGGGCTCGACATATTTTCTTGAGCTGATAAATAATATGCAAACCAACTAATTAATAATGTTGTCCATCTTGAAATTTAGAAAGTGATAAAAGGAAACTTACTATATATGTACATATAAGACTAATCATGATTAGTTCATTACCTCTTCTTTAGCATAGTCGACCGCAAAAGTGGGTCCTGTTTTTGCAAGTTCCATTTCAATTTCGTCGTACAGATCGATGATGATACGGTACAAATTTTTCATCGTCTCTGGTAGTGCTTCCAGAGCGCTTACATGGAAGCTGAAATGAGCATAGAATAATTTATTAAGGAAAAAGGTTGGCTAATCTAATTATCATAGGTAAACTAGATTGGTTTAGCAGAACTAGGAGTTAATTAGCTTATTCAATTTGGATAAATTACAAAATTTAAAATTGATATTTGAAGAAAGATATTAACCTTTCAATAGCTTCTGTGAGCATCTTGACCTCTTCAAACGTAGCAAAATTATCGCAAGTGTCATCTAAGAGTGAAAGCATCGATATGATCTTGGTACACATAACTCTGGCCAACTGATACTTCGGTTCAAAGTATACCGCATAAATCCAGTAATAGCATTCCACAACTCTGTCTCTTGCATGTGGGAAATTGGTAGTCACTTTCAAACTCTTCCACCACCTAATTAGCAAATCATCAATTAATTAAGAGCTATGTAATGACTAAGTAGATTTAAATATATACCAAAGACGCAAAAAAAGATTTATTGTTCAGAAATTGAAGTTGCACTACTCACTCAGAAATTTCGTGGAGCTCTTGTCGATGCAACTTTTGGAGCAAGTTGAAATCCAACTTTGCAAATCGAAGGAGTTTGTGATTGTGGGAGGCATCTTCGGAGTAAAAATCGATGTAGTTCCTAGTAAGCGACCTAGGGACACATTTCCACGAAGGGAGACCGAGAGCGAACTTTACTTGTTTGTGGAATAAAGGGCTGAGTTGGGGAAGAATGGACTTGAGGGTCTTGGTAGCAAAGCTCAGTGCTTCATCCAATATGCCTTCTCCATGGATTGCCACATGTGCTGCTTCATACAAGCTCAAGAGCCCTTGCTCATCTGAGGCCAACCATACTTTAAAATTTCCTTCTCCGTCCTTCAAGTTTCTAAACCCATCTGCTGATTCAGATGCACCAAGTTAGAAGTTATAAACTTTTATTTAACTACCAATTCAATAATGAAACGATTATTTATAATTATATGATACAACAAGTAATCATGAATAGTACTATATATACCTGGAGAAACTCGAAGGCCTTGTTGTCTGAGAAGTCGAAATCGAAGAGCAGCATTGTAGAGATCATCGGTAGTGGCGTTATCGTCGTGATCATGGATGACGAATAGTTCGTCTCCAAGAGCATGCACTTTTTCAAGTGCTTCTTCAATCTCCTTCTCGAAGTGATAGCCAATGCCCAATCGTTGGACTGCATCTATCACCCGCAGCTTCTCCGCAATGGCGGACGGCTTGCCATCATCCTCGGCTGTCAACATCTTCCGCACTTCTTCCTTGAGCACCTCGTACTCGCTTTCAAGCACTGGCAATGGCCCCTGCTGCTGGTGTTCTTCGTCGTCGAGAAAGCGGTCTCCCCACTGTGTGAGAGGGAAGCTTGCTGAGTCCCGATCGATGCTGACAGCCTTTTGGTTTCCCACAACAGCCGACATGATGATGATGATCTCGAACTGGGTTTTGCGGAATTGCTACTTAGTTTGTGAAACCGAAGGCTGTTTTTTGTAGGAAAGCTTGTATGCTGTGTGTTGTGAATCAAAGCTGGTGAGTCTATTGCTTATATATATAGCTAGCCAACAAGAAGCTCAAACAGAGTTCTAGGAAACCACCCTTAGTTTATTTCTTATACAATAAGGATTGCAGAGTTCTCGGAAACCTCCTTTAGTTGATTTCTTACTAGAATATGATCACGTTTACAACAGTCACTATGTACGTGTACGATTTCTTGATTAAATAACACTATTAGCGCCCACCTCCTGTCTCTTTTTTTTTTTTTTTTTTCATGAATGCTCCTTCTCCCGTCTTTCTCTTACCAACGTTTGATTTCTTAACAGGGCTTAGGATAGGGTCAGTTACTGACCTATGAGTAACTAAATTTGAATCTTTAGATCTAAGTGGGTCCAGAAAATTCAATTCTAAAGGTTGTTAATTAAAATTATTTTATTTTTCCTAGTTTTCTGAATCGGCTCTAATCTTCTTCGTTCTAACTCGGATTTCAATTTTTTTTGCACAAATGGAACGAGTTCGTTGTGCTCTACAAAATGAGATCAATTTTCAATATATTTTGAGAACTTTTTTTTACCAACTACATACCATATGGTAACTTCTTCATTTTTAAGTCGTTTTTGAAAACGTTTGCTCAGAAAGAACGAGTTCATCGGGATCTATTGGATCTGTAAATTTCTGGGCGAAAAAATACTGGATAAAAAATTATCATATTTTACCACTATGGTATGTGGGTGGTAACTTGTAGTAAACAATGAAGAAAGTCGTAAATGACAGTTAGTATATTTCTACTATCATGTATTCAACCTTCTTACCATATTGGTATGTTCATACCATCATGGTACGTTTTCTTACCATATGATATTAAATAGGAGCATACCATATGGTAATGACTGGTAAAAAATTATTTAATTTTTTGTACTAAAAATATATCAAAGTGGATATCATTTTAAAGAGCACATTTAATCTGATTTTCTGTGTAAAAAAATTAAATTTCGACTTAAAACAATAGAGAAATCGTTCGTTAAATATTAAAGGGAAATAGATAAAAGACTTTCCAGGAGAGAAAGGATACTGATGTCATGCTGATGTGAACAAGTTACTCATGGTTACTAACCGTAGAGTTACTGACCTGATCCGTTCCCCTTAACACGTGCTTTAAATATAGAAGGTCCGAATTATCAACAGATTCAATTTTTTTTTTCTAATTCAAAGTTTGATCTTAAGTTTTGCTTCAATTTTCTTAATGTCTATCAAAACGAATTCAATATCATATTAAGAATTTATTGAGATAAATATGTAAAATTATTATTAGGTGTACGAGACTCCAATAAACTACTTTCTTGTCATCATAGTTAGTCAAATATGGTCAGCTTAATTTTGGAAGTAAAAAATATTTCGAAGCCACCTCATCCCTTGTGACCCGATCCAATGAATACCTTGAATTCACTGCAGGGGTTAAATTTGCCACATACAATGTAATAACTAAAAAATAAAAATTATAAGCAGACGGTATTTGACTAAAAATTATAAGCAGACGGTATTAAAATATTAAAAAGGGAGAGAGTACTGAGTACAAAGACTAGAGAAGAAATTCCGATCCACAGAGCGGCACCTGACATAAATGTCGTTCATACATCATAATATAGTTTACTAGTCTAAGTGAGGAGTAGGCTTTTGTTGAAATAATGGATGATCGGAACAATCGTACAAAAATTAACTAATTATATATCATAATTATATGTTATTCGCAGGAGGAAGAGAGGTACGTGATTAGTTTGTTAATTATCTACATTAAGAAATCATCCATATTCTAAACGTGATTAGTTTGTTAATTCAATATTTTCAAAGAAATTGAAGGGCACGTAGTAGTTAGTATTTGACACTTGATAAAGGATTAATTAATAAAGATTCTTCCTCAGGCACCCCAGGACTGCTGAATGTCTTTTTGGCTGCTTTTCAAGCCACTGTAACACTTTCCCCCTTCTGTCTTTTGTTCTTTCTTAGACCCTTTTCTTTCTTCCCTTTTGTATTTTCTCGTACACCTCTGGCGTACTTTTCCAGCAATAAAATTTCACCTTCACCAATAAATCAAAGCGATTTCTTGTGATAATGGCTTAGACCATATTACTAAAACTAACTAGAATATGTACCATGGATTTCAAAAGAATACAAAATTTCTCAATTAAGAATTTGAAATCATTTTTTGGACATTATAAATTTATTATTCAAGCGGCATTAAGTTTATATCCTCTTGAAATTCACAAGATATGTTATATAGGATAATCAATTTGAATGTATTGATTGGAGGTGATCCAAATACAAAGAATAATTGGTAGTTGTATATGATAGATGCTTCGATATTTCGGTGGATAAATATAATACATATACTAAGACTCCATATACCACGATTTCAATTGTTTTGTAAAAAGGCTTAATCAACCTCCATTAAAATTAAGAGTCAATGTTATAGAGTTGAATTAACGTGATAACCATGATAAATAATGAGATTTATAACATTTTCCTGCGATCGACTTACCATATATTCAATATTTTACAGAAATGTGATACAAAAAAATCATATATTCAAATAACTAAAATAGTTTGAACTTATGAATCAACCTAATTATAATGCAATTAAATGAAATTCACCAGACTACCGAGTCAGATACAACTCTATTTTAAATATTGGCGTACTCTTGGTGTATGTATGTTCCAAGTGATTTGGGCATTTGATGTACTTTGGTAGACTTCGAACAATCAGAATTTGTTTCTATTAAAATGATCTTGGTGTTTGACATAGAGAATTAGGGTAAGAGTTCAACTATGTTAGGGTATAATATCACATTCAAAATTTGATTACTTTATAATCTACACTGATAGCGCAATCTCACTCATATAATACAGGCTGAGGCTTGGGTGTCTGTGAGGATCACTAGGAGTATTGTATACCAAACACATTTGACTATTGCTTGAATGCATGCATACTAGTAAATAATAAACGCGTTATAATCTGATTTGTTACACAAAATTATTTGAAATCCCAATCAAAACAAACTATATATGATCCATTAAATATAATGGGGATTAATTATCTAGAAAGCATAAGATAAAATCGATATCTTTATATTCTTTTGAAGGCTATAATGTTCGAGTTATCACTATAGTATAACAATACTTTACTGTGTTATTATACATCATATTGCTTATTGATTATTGTTGATCACTTCATTACATGTCTCAAACGCGGTATAGCTAGGGTAAAGTTGTGGAATATTCTGATCCCCCCTCCCCTCTCTGTTGATGGGATAAACGAGTCGAGGAGCCTCTTATTTTTCCTGAATGGTTAAAGATAGTTCTAAAAATTACTAACCATCGTCCTAATTTTATACGTAATTACTGAATTGTTCAAAATCCAACAAATTATCTTATGGACCGAATCATAAATCGTAGTAAAAGAATTAGAATTTTTTTTATATAAACCAAAAGAATTCAAAAAAATCCCAAAATCCCTCAACCGAAGCTAATTTTCGATTGTACCATGGTGCAACCGAATGTTACAACCGAAAATTGGCTTCAGTTGAGGGTTTTGGGTTTTTTTAAAATTTTTTTAAGTTTATTATGTTCTTAGCAATTTGTGGCGTTATATTTTGCTCAGCTATTCTTTTTGCATAATAAGTCCTTTTTTTTTTAAGTTTATTATGTTCTTAGTGTTCTGCGTACTCTGCCCGACTTGACTTTATATACATAGTCTTCTTCAAATACAATGATATCTTCTATATATGCTCTCTTCGTTCTCTAAAATAATTAATAATAATGCATTGTTTGTTTCCTTCATAAGAAATATATTAATCACCCATTTTAAAATATTTTGAAATGGAAACAACCAATAAAGAGCTTGAAATTTATTAGAATACAGCCATGATCAGCATGAAATTTATTAGAATACAGCCTGCGTATTATCCATATGAAGGCAGGACATAACTAGTTTATTTGGGGTGGTATGGAGTGGGGATGAGGAACAAATTATTTTGCCTCTTCACTTCGATGCCAAATCTTTCAGACATGTCTAGATCTTCGGGTTTCATTTGGTGAGGGAGCTTCCAATCAAAATGATAGATTAGATTGGCAAGGGCAAGATGAACCAAAGCCAGCCCGTAATGCATTCCCGGACACATTCGTCGTCCAGCTCCAAATGGGAGGTAATGAAAATCTACTCCTCTGAAATCAACGGAACTATCGAGGAATCTTTCCGGTTCAAAGACTTCGGGTTCGGTCCAGTGACGTGGATCTCTATTAATAGCCCATACATTGACGAAAACCCTTGTATTGGCCGGGATTCGATATCTATTAACAACAACGGTTTCCTTACTTTCCCTTGGAATAGCCAAAGGACCAGGAGGATGCAGTCTCAAAGTTTCTTTAAGAATTAATTGGAGATATTGCAGTTGATCGATAGATGCCTCGTCAACAACTCCTTTCCCATTAAACACTTTTCTCACCTCTCGTTGTGCTTTCTCCATAACTCTTGGGTGTTTCATGAGTTCGGACATTGCCCATTCAACAGTGATTGTCCATGTATCAGATCCAGCAAGAAACATGTCCTGCAATATTATATGCCATCATCATGAGATCAGACTGATCAGTAACTACCAATTAATGGATCAAAACAATGAACCAATACGCAATTAATGAGTGGCTTACGAGGATGACAGCTTTAATCTCGGTGAAGCCCAGGTCGTCGGTGTCTTTAAGATTGAGAAGCACACCAAGAAGATCTTCATCGTCGTTTCCTGGAGCTGCTACTGTTGATGATCTCTTAGCTATGCGGTCATTGATTATGGTTTCCATGATAGCATCGGCCGCCGAGTGAACCTTCTTCAGCTTTCTCTCAGCTGCGGCAGTGACGAGTAAACGCAGCAAGTTACTTGAAGGAAAGAGGTCGACGAGGCTGAACCCTCCAAGCGTCTTCATGAAATGTTTGATAAACGGCAAGAAAACTTCCTCTTGCTTCTGAATCTTGCCAAAGGCGGCACGACAAGTGATGGAGTTGCCGAAGGAGAGCATCATTTCGGTGAGGTTGATGGTGGGCTTCGTGTTGATCAAGCCCACGAGCTTCGCCATCTCTTCCTCCATGATGGGCCGCAACATCTTGGTACGCCTGGCGCCGAGAAGCTCCATGGCTACAATCTTCCTCATCTTTGTCCAGTAGGGTCCGTGAGGGGAAAACCCGATGTCTCGGCCTCCGTAGAAGATGATGTTGGCGGCCGGGATGAAGGGCCTGCTGGCGAAGTTGAGATCGTGGGCCTGCATGAACTCCTTGGCCCATTCCGCCGAGGACACGATCACCGTGGGGATTTCGCCGAGCTGAAGTTGCATCAGAGGGCCGTACTGTCGGGCCAGCTCCGCTAGCCGGCGGTGTGGGAGGGACGAGCCGGTTGCCAGCTGGTGGAGGTTCCCGATGATCGGCAGCTTCCATGGCCCCGGAGGTGTAGCTGCTTTTGATGATGATGATGATGAGGAGCTCAGAGACCTTTTCATTATGATCATTGAAAAAATGGTGACCAAGATTGTGACACTAATTGGGATGATGAAATAATCACTCGCCATCAGCTCCCCGACTGCTACTACTAATTTCTCACCCATGTCGATCACTTTTCTCTCTTTATCGATCTTTTCTTCTCTTGTAGATTGGTTGGTTTTTGGTTTGTTTGATCGATGGATCTGCTCGAGAAGATGGCTCATTCGTTTATATATACACCATGAATCAGCATATTAGTTGACTATTATTATTATTATCATCGTCCACATAAAATACTAATATGTATAACTTTCCACCTACACGGCTGCATGCATGATAAATGTGTTCGCTTGTTATCAGGAGTGAGGAAACGTGATAAATTTGTTTAATTTCTCCAACTTGCGTATTCGGCTTTGTCACTAATTGTCATTAGTCATTAATTAATTGTTGATTGCGGGTAGTTAATATTCATTCCAGGGCGGCCGACGGTATTTATTTCACTTAATTATAAAATGGATTCATGACCGAATCAGTTTGTGACGACAATGAGGTCACCAATGTACAATATTTGTTACAACTTTGAAGCGATCATCACCTACGAAAGAAGGCATTAAAAGATCTATCTCGATGGAGTATATAGGTATTATATTGTTCGTATTTATGGTGTTCGAAGATTCAAACTCGATACACGCTCGAAAGGTTGATCATTTGAACATGTTTATCAATAGAGAAGAAATTGTGTTTGAAACTGATCTCAACATTTTTTTATAACTACCGCTAAGACATGGTTCAATAGAGAAGAAATTGTGTTTCATAGCTGCTCATCCAAAGACCTTGGTCCTTAAAGACCACTTGCCACTGATTTGAAGACTCCATGACCATGTTGGTAGGTTTGGGTCTCTTTCCATAAAGGTGTCCTGTAATGACGATTCATCTTGATCCCATACTTGACATGCTTAAGTTGGTTTCTTGCGTCCTTAATAAGATAGGCATGTGACCAGTAATCCTTATTGCTTGGCGAGGCTTGTGGTGTGACCCACAGTTCAGAGACTGCATCAAGTTATTGCCTCATGCAGTGTGTTGGTACATCTGGTTGGAGAGAAATAATAGGATTTTCAGGGATGTGGAGTCCTCCCCAAAAGAGATTGGACAGAAGATTGTTCTTATAGTTGGACAATGGTTACGAGCTTTTATGGCTAAGGAACGTCTTTTATCGATGTTAAGTTCCAAAATATAGAACAAAAACATCATGGTATATAAAGTGGAATGTATAAGTTATATCAAGTTTTCATATTTTAGTTGGATAATCAACTTCATGAAGATCGACAAGTATGCAATTTTAAAAGAGCACAACAACTGATGATTCGAATTGTTTCTAATATCTATTTCTTCCATTTCTTCACCCATTGCTTGGAGGAGAGTTTCCCAACTATATTTATTTCTTAATACATATACATTATTGTGGTATACATTCACAGTTTATGCTTCAACATAGCCAGCTAGCGGAGCCACCACATGTCGCGGCCGGTGTCATCACTACAAAATAAACCACTTATAGCAGGGGATTTTTTTACTTTTAGAAACGGTAGGAACCGTCGCCACCATTCCCGTCAGGGGTTTGGCTAACCGCTGCATAACCGCCTCAAGGAGGACCGCTGCAAATTTACGGCAGCAGACAGTCCAACCGCTGGTGAATGATTTTGCAGCGAATTTTGCTACGGTTACGGTTGCTGCCATTGTAAGAATTAGCAGCGGCCAGAATAACTCCAAACTTAGTCCTTGCAGGGGTTTCGCGACATTCAAGAACCCCTGTTACTAGCAATTTTTTGTCCAACGTTTAAGAGCACTCATGGGAAACCAGATATAATTAACAACCATTCAAAAGTGGATTTCAGTATTTTACCACAACTTTTCTTCTGTGCTATATTTTTATTTTCACATAAACCATCTAATAATATCAAACTTCAACAAAAATAGAAGTTCCAATAAAATTCTTAATATTGAACTTTGATGTCTTCTAATAACCCATAGCTGCACTGCAAGCCATACTAACCTGTTACAAAATAAACCAAAACCAAAAAATCATTGTCACTGCTACTAGTTGAATTCCAACGTACAAAAACGACCACATGGAAACACAAGACAATGAAGACAAATAAACAGAGAGCTTAGATATGAAAATCACTTTAAAAGATCACAATGCTACAGAAAGAACCATTCCCCAACTGCAAGAAAACTCAAATTCTGAAAACTGAATTCTCTCACAAATCACATATACTTGGTCCTTGCCCAAAGAGCATAGCAAACAAAGAAATGGGACAACCCCCAATACCAGAATTTTTTTTATCACTCATCATGCTAGCTGCTTACACTTCAATATATCAAGAAGAAACTTTCAGGTAAACAATAAACAAAGAATAAAAGTACTTACCACCATTGGCCGAGATAACTCCACAGAGCTGCAAACTGTTTAGGTTATGGCCCCGGAACGATAAAGAGTACAATTTCCAGCAAACATCAGGGTCTATCTTGATAGTGGTGAAGGAGCAAAGAGAGATTAAGGGTAAAAGCTATAAACTATAATGATACCTTCTGATATGACAACAACCAAAAAGTACCTACGAGGTATGCAACATTTAACAGCTCAATTCACTATCGGAAACCCAAATCTAATTCAAAGACAAATTTAATGAATGCAGCCTTGTAGTTGGGCATTTTTATCATAGAGATGTATGTTTTGAGTTCCCTACCCGTACACCAGTTTGGCTTGACGAAGATGCACGAAGTGAACTCTCCATTGACCCTAACTAAATTAAGAGCAGTATCAGTCCTGGAAACAAAATTAGAAAAGTGTCATATAACAGGATGCAATATAACGGGATGTGGTATAGGAGATTCAACAGCCAACAAGATGAATCAAGGTCGCGTTCTTGAAATACTCTTTAATGAAGGGGCAGAAATGATCAGGTCGCGTTCTTGAAATACTCATGGGGAGTATGAATTTCGTTAACTCTTTAATATAAAGAGAAAAATGTTGGCAGAGCAGCAGATATAAGATTTAACCTCATATATATGCTTGAATAAGATGCGCTCTCTTGTGCATAATGAACTTAGAACCTTGAACCTCAATGTCTCTTCTCATTTCTGCACCATGTAAAGAGTAATGCAAGAGTCAAAACTATATAATTTATTCCCACAAGCACACATGAAGACACTTGTGTTAAGTTGACAAATTAGGCAATTTTAGGGACAAATTTATCCTAAAATCAACAATCCGGACTCATAATCAGTTGGAAAAGCAACAATGGAGGAGTGATAAGCAAGTACACAAATCCAAAATGGTGGAGAAAATTACTTTCTGCTTTAGCTCTCTGTTTTCAGTCTAACCAATAAATAGCAGAATAACAGACAGCAGATGTTCCATAGTTCTAATTGTATCACATAAATATAAGCAATATTAGGCAATGATTTGTATTCAGACAAAAGCAATTACATATAACCAGTATAAGATTGAAGAAATACACCTTTCTAAAACGTCCCAAGTAGGATTCCCACTTCTAGTGTAGTCATAAGGACCATTTTCTGTTGCTGATGGCTGTAAAGCAACACATCAGAAGAGAGAAACCAAGTATTGAGAAGAGAGAACAAGGGGGCATGGCTTAGATCCCATGCGAGGATAATTACCTGCTTAAATGTAGCTGTTTGGTAAAGGGCACACTCAAATACTACATAATGCTAAAAGAGTTAACCTAACTGAAATGGTACCATTCACTACATATATCTCAGATAAACGACAACTACTAGCTACCCAATTGGGTTTAAATCTTGGGAGTCAAACATTACGGACCAGAAAACAACTAATTAGCATAAGAGAACAGCTAATAAACCCGGGATCCATGTGTATGTTTTACCTAACCACCTGATTTTTCCTCTAGCATTACATCTAGTTTTGCAGTATGGGGTTAATATTCCAGTGCAGAGGGGTTTTGAATCTATGATGCACCCTAACCGAAGCACTCCATATATAGTATAGTTAACATGGGAGAAGAAGATCGTTGCACCATCAGCAGCTAGCTGCTCCAGCATATAATAATCGTTATACGGGTGGATTTTGATGAAGGTCTAAACTCTTAAAAGGATAGGAGGTGAGTTTATCAGCCATTCATACCACCTACAGCTACAAAGCCATACATGCACAACAACCATATTCAGAGCTCGAAACACAAAGTTAAGATAAGCAGAGAGGTTAGTAAAATCTATCATTCGAGAGAAACAACCACTTTCACCCCTAGAGTGCTAGTTTTGCAATCTAAAATTACCTGATTCCCCACTGAGCTAAAGGGTTTCTACACTGTGGAAAGAAGAAACAAAACACGTCGGTGACCTTGGCTTTCGAAATCACATCCTAACCTTTTCCCGTACTAGCAAATGAGCGCCAGCATCTAATCTTTTTGTACCAATAAACAGAAAAATTCAAGTCATCAAGTACATGTCTTAGAGCTATTGCTAAAGAAAGTCAAAAGCTAGCAGATGATGCGAGAACTCACTGGCGACAATGAACTAGAAACCAATTATGAAAGGAAGAGTGGATACGGAGACAAGCATTCAATCAGGAAGGAATCAATCAACATAATCGATTCACTAGTACCCTTTTACCTCTGTTCGCTGCATTCCCCCTACCACTGCATGCTCCCCGATCGAGGTGTTAGTGAACCTCCCCTGAGTAGTTAAGCTCGTTCATACTACAGACAGCGTGAGAAAGTGAGCGTTGGGCTCTCAATAACATAGCTGGCGTCGATCATTTAGAGCTACAGCGTCCGTCTCATGAATTGAAACAAACTTCGGGAGAAAATCAGTTGAATAAAAGGTTAGAGGAAACGTATCTTGAACTGAAGAGACGATTGAAATTGCTCTGTGATCGAAGGTGCTGCCGCTTTTGACCATTGTAGAGGTGGGAGAGGGATCGCCAAAGTCGATGGAGAAATTGAAGTCGGCGGGGATCGGAAGAGTTGAGACATGATTGTTAGGGTTAGGGATTTGTTTACGAGAGAACAGAGTGGAAGAGGCTAGAATACTTTTCGTTTTTGTTTTTTCTTTCGTATTGAGAGACGAGCACGTTAGGCATTTACAAAATTCTATTTTTAATTAATTGAAAATATACAGCGGTTGTTTTAACCGCTGGATAAAACTGCTGTTTTACGGAAATTTTACAATTGCAGCAAGGGTTATAGGAACCCCTGCTACTAAAGCGCTGCTATATGTCTATTCCCTTGTAGTGCATGATCGGAGGAAACAAAACTAGCGAAATCAAAGAGCACCACTTCCGGCCCACCGGCGCTCCCCCGGCTGGTGGTCGGAGTACTACTCAAGGGACGACGACATAGCGGACATGTAGGATGCCTCCTTGTGAATGAATGCGTCGACCATCTGTCGAGACAAACTTTATGAAACACGTGACAACAAGTCAGCTTCCGTATCTCTTCGCCTTGTTCCACCTTGGACAAGCACACCGCACATTCCGAGGACTGCCGCAGATCTTCGGCGGTTGCCGATACAACGTCGTTAGGCTCGTAATACTCTTGGACTTGGTCGTGATCCGGCTGCTGGTGGTTGAGTTCGTAGTTGTAGCTGTGGTGGCGGTGGCGGTGGTGGAAGAAGGAGAGGTGGAACAACAATTCCCAACCCCATTTCATGTAAGCCAACGTCATTCTTATGCTTCCCACCACCTTGATAGCATCCATTCTTAATCTTCTCTGTAGCTAGTGAAGAATGGTTAGAATTAGTGCTAGATAGTAGTAGTGGTGATGGCATAGGGCATCCATCCTTCAGGTATTGCTTGACAGTGAACGTGGTGGGGTTTGTGTACTCAGGAGTCCAAGCATTTGATCTTGCTTACTCAATGCTCACTAAAAGAGTTCATAGCCCAACCGGGAACTGGCTCCGGGATTGCTTCGATTTCTCTCTGGACCAGGCAAGCTCCACTGTCCCTTTTGATCATATTAAATACGTCACTATGCCACCTTCTCATCATCCATTCATCCTCCCACCTAACCTATGCACTTTGCTTCATTAGCCACCACTCGATTCCTAATGTGGCAAGAAGCTTTCATGGGTTGCTATTTGATGTGTTTATCCTGTTCTGTGAGCTTGCTTTTGGACCACTGTCCCAAAAAAGGATCCATGGCCGGTTGAGTGACCTCTTGCTAAACTAGTCGACATCACTCTGTTCTCTATACTGTAAAAACTCCGTCAACAACTGGCTATTGATTGTATCCTGTTTATAGTAAATGGGTGTTCAGGTGGGTTAATGTCCTTTTCTATGGAAGTTTCTTGGTTGGAGTTCAGAATATTTTGGGCCATGTCTTTATTTGTTTCTTTGTGTGGTTGTTATTTGCTTGGAATATGTCTTTCCCCTCTACTCTAATACTACTACCTATTCCTCTTCCCTTTCCCCCATAATGATGCTGCCTTTTTATTTGGAGCCACCTACTGTCGACTGTTGTTTTGCTTTGGTTGTTTGTTCTTTCTTTCATAGTTGAGGATAGAATATAATTGCAAGTGGCCAATGAGCCTTTCAGCCTTTGCGAGGAGCCTTAATAAGCTTGTTCAAAATGCGCCTTCTTGTTATGCTTCTAAAGTACCGTGTGAAAAGCTAAGCTGTAGAGAGGATCATGTTGCATGAAAAGGCAATTCCTTTTTACTCTGAGTCGAATTTATACCTTTTGGACCATTTCCAGTAGGAACAAGCTGGCTGCAATTCATATTCTCAGCAGATGGCAATTTATGATGTGAAGCTTGGGATCATAAACTTTGAGAAAGGCCACAAAGTAATTCAACACATAATACATTCTTGCTAAGTATGTCCTGGTCAACCTTATGCATTATGTGTGACCCTATTCATATGCTTTCTTATCCATCAAACTTGCAGCTTTCTTTCCTTATGGAATTGATGCCTTCTAGGAGATGTCGTTTCAGTTTCATGACAGGGTTGCATAATTTTCTTTTTGCCATATGCAGATAATAGCATATCTTCTGCTGTCTGCATCGACATCAGCAGCGTTCAGAGTGGAGGACTGGGAATCCAACTGGGGGAGTGACGAGTTCTCGGGCATGGCACGAGCATCTCTCATCCTGTCGTTCCTAGCTTTTGTTGCCTTTGCATCGAGCTCGATTCTGTCTGGTTACACTCTCTTCACTTCACATTCATTGTAGTACCTACTTTGAGATCCTCTTGGTGTGCTTGGAATGGGGAAAGATATACGATGGAGAATAATGAATACCATACAAACTTGTGTACATAGTAGTGAGAATATTTGCATAATACTCGGGACTAGATACAGAGAGACTAGATGAGCTTGATCGATGGCTCTCACGATCTCCTTTCTCATCCATGGTTGGTGTATGAGTTTTGATAGGGCGTGTCAATTGTTTGTTGTATTCAATTAGACGTTTAGGTGGCATTTGAGAAGGAATTGTACGTTGTAGCACTTTTGCCACTCATAAACTCATGCTACCTTTTCTGTTACAACATCTTAATTTGAGAAATCTGTAGCTTGCCTCCCCTTTTCTGTGGACGCAGTACTTCTAATTCCTTTTGCCTGCCATCAAGCTGAGGGTTCCAGCCACTATATCCATAGTGTCGTTTCTCAGAATGTTATAGAATACATTACAAACAATTTCATTTAGCTTGATGAGTTTGCTTTCGGGAGACTTCCAGGGAAACGATGCTGGCTGGCCGGGGGCTACACTTGTTCCCAGTTCTGCACATTTTGTACCAACCACCTCAACCTCTGGCTCACAATGGAGTCAGGGTTGTGACTTGTGGTACTGCCGTGGTTCTCTCTGTTGGTAACGAACCAGACCACGAATTGTTCATAGGACGCGATCCCTCAACGCAGCTTATTGCGACATTGAGAGAGATGCTCGTTAAGTCTTCCCGTCCTGTGAGGGGACATGACTTGATTTCCAGTACAGGAAGCATTTCCATTATCTATTCAGTGACACCCCTCCACTAACAAATGCCAACAACTCTCTACATATCTGTCGTAGTTTGAGAGGACTCATTTCATTTCAATACCAGGAAAATGGTTGCTGTTCTTGCTTGCATCAACGGTGACGCCAAACCTACGTATCCTATTTCCAAACTGTTAATAATAATATTTCCTTGCCTGTCACTTCAGTTGTATATATAATGAACATGGGAGCATGATCATTGATCTTCAGCTAGAAGTAAACACCAAAGAAAGAAATAAATAATACCATGAGTAGTAGTGGTGCTGTGACTGTTCCCGCCAAAATGAAGGGTTGGGTCTACTCTGAATATGGCGACCCTGCCCAGGTCCTGAAACTGGAATCTGAAGTCCCAGTTCCTGATGTGAAAGAAGATCAAGTTCTCGTCAAGGTTGTTGCTGCAGCGCTTAATCCGTTGGATTATAAGAGAATGGAGGGAGCTATCAAAGCCACTGATTCTTCTCCACCGGTAAACTAGTCTGCTGTGTCTCTGTTTGTTTTATATACAGCATTCCAATTCTAAAATTACAACTTACAAGCTTCTTTGTTAGATATTTGTTCACTTGAGATCTTGGGTCAGTAGGGGAGAGTCTTGAGAATATGAACCATTTTAATCCTAGCACCTAACTTCAAAAAATTAACCTATTTCATCTTTATCTAAAAAAATTCCGAGAAAATGGATGTAAAATCAATTTGGGATATGCACAGTGGAAGGTTTCATTTTCAGGAGAATCATGAATACCTGATTTCTAGAGATCAAGTAGATATGACTCATACTAAAATCAAACTTTTTTTTTTTGTCATAGAAACCCTTGCGGATTAACTAGATAAGCACGAGATAGCCACAAATCAACGGCTTCTTCGTGAGAAAACAGTCAAAGGAGGTAAGAACAGTTAAAACAAACACTACGAGTGCCAGAGTAGCATAAGGCATTGCGTGCCACAACATGGGCAGCCCTATTCGCTTCTCTAGGAGTAAAAACAACAGAAACCAGCGGCATTTCTTGTAACATGAAGATGACTTCTCGTAAGATAGCTCCCGCTAGAACATACTAAAATCAAACTTGTCTACTGATGATACATGTGGATCTTACAATCATTATTGGGGGTAATAGGTCTGTGTAGAAATGTAAGAAATACAACTAATCGTTTAAGGTATAAAAATGATCGGACATGATGCTTGATAAAATTGAAATTGTATAATTATTGACATGTATGTGAAACCGTATTGAATGCAAAATTGTTGAGATTAATTGTTTCAATGTATAATAACAATTTGAATATGACCCTTTGAAAACCGTAGCCGTGCTCGTATGAAATTGTAGAGATTAATGTTTAAGATATAAAAAACAAAATCCAATGCAAAATTGTTGAGATTAATTGTTTCAATGTATAATAACAATTTGAATATGACCCTTTGAAAACCGTAGCCGTGCTCATATGAAATTGTAGAGATTAATGTTTAAGATATAAAAAACAAAATCGAATATGAACTATAGTAGCAACTAGCAAGTATAGTCATCAACATTTTGCTTAATTAGTTTGAAATACAAAAACAAACATTGGGGTGAGAGAGGCTCGAACTCTCGACCTCAGGATCACTCTATTGCTATGAGACCTACGCGCTAACCAACTGCGCCACCACCCCAATTGATGTTAGAATATTCCTATTAAGATACTAATATTTATTCTATATTCAGACAGTTCCAGGTTACGATGTTGCTGGCGTGGTGGTTGAACTCGGAAGCAAAGTGAAGAACCTACAAGTTGGAGATGAAGTATACGGGAATATTAACGAGGCAGCTCTGGTTCAACCCAAGAAGTATGGGTCTTTGGCAGAGTATACTGCTGTGGAAGAGAAGCTTTTGGCTCTTAAGCCCCAAAACAAAACTTGAGCTTTGCTGAAGCAGCTAGTCTCCCACTCGCCATTGAGACTGCACTGGAGGGCCTTGAGAAAGTTGGGTTAACCAGTGAGATGTCCATTCTTGTTCTTGGTGGTGCTGGTGGAGTTGGTTCCCTTGTGATTCAGGTACTCACTCAATCAACATCATGGTTCTTGACTACTCTGCCTTTGCAAGTGGGGGTTATTTTAAGTGGATAGTGACTACAGTTTTAACTTAGTGGAGGCTTGAGCATAAAATAAAATAAAATAAAAGAACTTCATTGTTCTAGAATTATATTTTATAGATGGTGTGTGTTTTGAGTTTTAGTAAATGTAGTAGGAAAATGTAGTCGGTAAAGCTTTTAGAAAAACAGAGTTAATATGGGCCGTGGAGAGAAGTATGGTGCTGGGATCCACTTGGATGGTTAAGTTTCTATAAGCACTTGTTCAATATGCGTAAGGTGAGTATGATGTTAGGATTGCATAGTTATGGAACACAATTCTCATCATTATGATGCAAACAATTACATAAAATTATAAAGACAACATAAATTAATCAATTTTTATATATCTTATTCAAAAAAATTCTCATTCAGATTCTACTAAACATACGAAGGACAATCCTCTATTTAATTTAAAAATAATTTAACTAGACATATTTATTCTCTTTTAGATTTTTTTTTTAAAATCAGTTGCATTTGCAATATTTGTATGTTAGTTTGTTTGCTTGAGATTTGATGCTTAAAATTCACAATTATATTAGGGTAGCTATTAAAATTTATGCTTATAATTTGCTTAAATAGTGTTTGTGAGGTGAATTATGAAAACTGAAGACATATATTTGTTTATTTCGGCCAACTAAAGAAAGGTTTCAATTTCTTTCTGAGCCGGCCCATTACAAACTACAATAGTTAGTTAATAGGCCTCCTTGCATGCGTCTAGAAAACAACCTCTGGACTTGGGCCCATATAAAGTGAGAAAACAGGAAGAAATAAAGCTGTACGTGGGCTTTGGTTTAATCTTTTCCGTTTGGTAAAATCCACATATGCATGCAAAGAGTGCAGATTTGGTGACTAAGGGGGGTGCTTAGTCACTTGAACTAAGTCCCTCTTAGCCATTAGATCTGGACACTTCAATCCAATGGTTAAAAAGTGGGAAGGGCTATTTAATTAATAGCAGGGGTAGTTTGGGTATTATGAAAAATTACGAAGTATACAAACCGGATTTACAATCAGTACAAACCATACAAACATACGAACAGTACAAACTAGAGCGACAAAACATACAAACATTACAAACGTATGAACTGTACAAACAATACAAACTAGACTGACAAACAATACAAACCATACAAACATACGAACAGTACAAACTAGAGCGACAAAACATACAAACATTACAAACGTATGAACTGTACAAACAATACAAACTAGACTGACAAACAATACAAACCATACAAACATACGAACAGTACAAACTAGAGCGACAAAACATACAAACATTACAAACGTATGAACTGTACAAACAATACAAACTAGACCGACAAACAATACAAACCATACAAAAAGAAAAAACACCCGGGTTGACTTTGGAGGCTCCATCCCTATATAGAGGGGCTCCTTCCCAAAGTCAACCCGGGTGTTTTTTAGACATACAAACAGTACGAACATGGTGGACAAAAATGACAAACTAGACCGACAATCCATACGAACGGGAAAAAACACCCGGGTTGACTTTGGAGGCTCCATCCCTATATAGAGGGGCTCATTCCCAAAGTCAACCCGGGTGTTTTTTAGACATAAAAAACATTACGAACATGGTGCACAAAAATGACAAAGTTTACAAACATAGTGCACAAAAATAACAAAGTTTACAAACATTACAAAAAAACCGACAAACATTACAAAATAACAAAGCATACAAACATTACAAAATATGTCAACAAACATCACAAAATCAGCACTGTTGCCGGAAAATTCTTCTCCGGCGACGATGTTCGCCTATCTCTCTCTCCCTCCCTCCTTCCCTCTCTCTCTCTCTAAATTCCCCGGGACGAAATAATGGCGCATGGGCCATGAGGGGGACACTCTCTCTCTCCCTCCCTCCCTCCCTCTCTCTCTCTCTATCTAAATTCCCCGGGACGAAATAATGGCGCATGGGCCATGAGGGGGACAATTCCCCTGGGCGGCAATTAAAATAATTGCGCGGGCGCGGAGGCTCCCCTGGACGACCGCCGGCAATAACGACGGAGACGGGAGGCTCCAGACGGAAAAGCAGTCGGCGGTAGGGACGGGAGGGGACAGTGGAAAATTAAAAATTAAAAATAAAAATAAAAATAATTATACAATTACTACATTGCCCTTCATTAATTTGGATTGATTAGAGCCATTAGATTTTAATGAGGTGGAAGGGCTGAGATTGACTTAGTCATGTGACTAAGGCCCCCCCTTTTAGTCACCTGATCCTAGCCCGCATGCAAAGCTGGCGAAGCATGTTTTCGGATCATACAAAGTGGCAGCCACGTCAAGCACTTCAAAGCTGGAGCTGCTGAAGAGCTTGGGAGCTGATCTGGCCATCGATTACACTAAGCAGAACGTGGAAGAGCTCGACGAGTACAGAAATGGCGGTAGTCCAACCAAGACAGAAACCGTCTCTTTCCAAAAAAATTTCCAAAAAAAAAAAAAAAACATCAAATTGAGAAAGGAAATAAAATGGAATAGGTGGAAATTAATTAATTTTTTTTATTTAAAATTGTGGAGTTGGAGGTGACATGGTGCGTTGACTAACGGTCAACGCGTTTGACCGTCCAAGTTAACGGTCAAAAGTCTGATCTGGTCAAATTATTTATTTTGGTGTATAGTTCGCAGTTCGGGCCAGAATGTTATAGATCGAAAAAATTGGCTAGGATGTTTACTTTGGTCCAAGTTCAGGCCATACGAAAATATTAACCCATAAAACAAAGTATATATAAACATATTGTTGGACGAATATGGAAAAGGTGAAATCAGAGTTGCAAATATTTGATAAAGATCATAAGATCACCAACCTTAATCAAAGGTCACAATATGGGAAAGTTTTCAGAGAAGGAAAGTCAGGAAGGAAGGCGTGAAGAATATCAGCAACGGCTAGCTACAAATCCTCCTATATATATAGTGCTGCTTGGTTCTTCTCAGATGGGTACTTGGTAATGAAAAGATAGCGGTAGAGGGCTAGGCTTTTGGATTACAAAGGGTTTGACGAGTATAGAGGCATAGGTTCTATATCGTCAAGGTTGTGGCGGGTCTGGATTGGGATCCGAGTTTTTTTTCTATCGTTCTTGTTATTTACGTTCTTCTTTTGAATTCAATTTGATAGGTAAAACCAATAAAAAGAGTCTCCTAGAAATCAGTGGTACTGATTCTAGGCCGAGGAGTGACCAATAGTTTGGGAACCTCGTTAAATCGTGGTGTTCTCTCCGTTCTTTGTTTGCTGCTCTGTTTTGATCTGTTTTCCAGTTTGCTGCGTACACAGGTCAAAAGTCCAAAAATTGTGTTCTGAAGGAAGAAATCAAAATCGTCTCTTCTAAACAGAAGCTTTAACTGGGTCTTTTGATCTCTTGAACCCAATCCGTTTATTTTACGTTAATTTTTGTCATTTTATTATCATTGGGCCAAAGACCAAGTAAAGCCCATTTGCTGGTCAGAAGAAAATCGTCCAATTTCATTTTGCTTTTCACTCTTTCTTCTTTGCGTGTCTTTTCTCATGGTTTCTCTAAAACACAAAAAAATCCCCAAATCAAAAACCAGAATCCCTAGCCTGTTTTCACATATTCGTAGCCGATTTATCTTTACTTTTAATGACGACCAATTCAGAGTCGCCAAAAAGCAAACAAGAAATAGTCGCCAAAAGTATTTGGAACTTTGCCTTTTGGCGACCATTTGTTGGTTGCAAAAAGCTCGTTCTGTGCGGGAGAAGTTGTGCATGGTTTCTGAAAGTTCGATGAACAACTACTACTGCAGTGCAAAACGGGACAGCTGCGGTGAAGGCAGCGGCGGCAGAGTGGTGGTGGTGGCGATACTGCCGGTGCCACCGCCGGCGAGTTGGTTTGTGGTGACGTCGAAAGGGAGTGCGTTGGAGAAGGTGAAGCCTTATTTGGAGAGTGGGGAAGTGAAGCCATTGATTGATCCAAAGGGTCCTTTCCCATTTTCTCGGACTGTGGAGGCATTTTCCCATCTCATGACTGGGAGAGCTACTGGGAAAGTCGTCGTTCACCCTCTACCTTGATTGTCTTGATCTATATATTATATAAAATAATGTGATTGAGTGGAGCCACATATAATTTGAGCTGGATTGTCTTGACGTATACATTATAAAAATATGTAATTGAGTGGAGCCAGGTATTTGAGTTGGGCAAAGCGAACCGTGGAGGATTGGGGGTGTACAACAGTTTGGTTTGTATTATATCGTATCGGATCAAACCGACACTTGTACTGGTTTATAGTCAATTGAATAAGATACAGTTTGATCTTTTGTTCACAAATTTTATAAATACGAATAATAAATGGACTAAATTGAACTGAATGCATTGTTGGTTCAATACTTGATGCTAAGATGTTTGACTTTATTGGACCAAACTGGACCACTCCACATGCAGTGCTAAAGGAGCGTCAATGCCTTCCAAGACTAATTTGTTTCATCTATCCCATAAACAGATTACTTTCAAAATAAAATAAAAAACAGAAGAGATCACAATAATATGTCCTTCATTAGGCCGTTCCACCCAAAGGTGATGTGGCTCAGTTACTGGTGACCACTTCCAGATGTGACAAAATATTAGTTACCACCAGCAGGCAACAATTAGTGACATCTGCCCAACGGAAAGCCACCAGCTAGCAGTAGCAGACACTACAAGAAAAAAGTGATTTTGCAACCAATAGAATTGGTCACCAAATGTCAAAATTTGGTTATTAATACATTTTTGCGACCAAAATATTTTGGTAGCAGAATTGGTCGCCAAATATCTAGATATGCTTC